GACTGCTAAAAATTACTAAAAAATCAATTTCTTTAAAAAAACCTATTTGACATTTATAAAAATATTTTGAAATGATTGTTGACAATTTTGAATTGTCAGTTTCAACAACATGTTTACTCATCTGGAATAAGTGTTTCGAAATGTAAAAACATAACAATTAATGTTTATAATAAATAGTATTGTTTCTCTGTAAGTAGATAGCACTTTTTCTTTTGTATTGTTCCTTGTTTCAATAAATTAAGTCTGTTCTGATTAGGCTAAAAATGCGTTACGTAATGAAACCAGTGCGGTAATGAACTTCATTACGTAACTCAAATCACCTCAAATGAGTGCGGTAATGATGACTTATCCAAGCAGTCGTAGATAAAAATGATTTATGATAATGTTAGGTAAAAAACGTTAATAACCATATTGTCCAAGATATTCTAGGAAAATATTGAAGGAAATCCTTTTTTAAACAATTAGCGAAAAATACGTTTTAAGTAATGCAGCTATTATTCCGAAAATACTAAATTTCGCTTTAAAATCTTAGTATCACATTTTTAAGATGTTTTTCAATGTTCTAAATGTATTTTCCGCCTTAATAAAGGATTATTAAATTTTTTTTATATGGAAGATTAAACACAAATTACTAACAATTCAATATTTATTATCTATTTATCTCAACAATTGCAGTACATGTCGTAGTACAATAATAAAATTGTAATAGATTAACGTTTTTCTATTTCTCTCTCACAGTTCTCAAAAAATAAACATCCGGGTTATAACGTCATTTTTTCTTTCATTCAGTAATAATCTTACAGTACATACTCATTTATACTTACATACGCTTTCGTTCTTTTCTCTACAGTTAAGTAGACTCTGTTTCTCGCGGTTATCGATCGATTTGTCGTACTAACAAACAAAAAAAATGTGTCATATAGAGTACTATAGGCCATACGAACATAGTTTTCGATCGAATCTTATACGTAGTTCGTGAGTTTAGCGGACTAAAGCTACAAAATTATTTAGTTGTAATAATTAAAAACAAAAAAAAAATAGTAAAATTATAATCATAGAAATGACGACTAAGTTGCTTTTGATTTAGAACTAGAAATTATTTAGTAATTATAATGGATGATAATATGCAGTTTTCTTTTCTCTTCTCACTACGAACGTTATAAGTATTTAAATAAATTTAATGTATTTATCAAAACTTTCTATTATTGAATCGTTTCTTTCAAATTTCTTTTAAACAGTGTATATTGCACAGGGACTATTTGCTCGCTTGATCGACAAGCTCTGTATTATACACGATCAATTAATTAATTGTTATATATTATATAAAATAAAATACACAATGAGATAGCTCCATCGAAGCGTTTACTCGAATAACTAGAATAATTCGTTGCAAAAAGGAATTTTTTTTTGCTCAAACTGACTTTGGTCTTACATTAGCTATTTATTAATATAGTATATATATTTTTTTTAGTTAGTATTTTTTTTTTAATAATAATAAATTGAAAGTGTAAAAAATAGCATTTTGCGACTATAAGCTATAAATCACAAAGTAAATCTAACTAAAATCGCTAAGCGAGGACATAGACGACGCATCTACCGCGTGCTTTGCGAAAATTGAGCGTTTTGTTTCCACAATTTTCGTCAAAAATTTATTTCCAAAACATTTCTTTTTTAGTTAGGTTTTAATACCTTGATATTAATTTTTTGACGAATATTGTATATTTTCTTATTCTTTTTGGAAGACATAGTAATATTTGCTGCATCCGATATTAATTATTGTCTTTATCTAAATCACTAACCTATATTCATATCAAAAAATAATAATAAAGTTCACACGCGAATCGCTAATTCTATGAGGGGCAAAAATCAGTAAGTAAAGTTGACTGTGTATGTGTAAAAAATAAAAATAATTCGACATTGCTAACTTTACATATTTACTAATAATATGTATGTATAAAAAATTGCACTTCTTTTTGTGCTAACTAGATTAATGTAATAATTAAATTGTTCTTTTTATATTTTTATATTATAAGGCGTTTTTTTATATAAAATTTAATGCGTTTAACAATTATAAAATATATATTATTTATTATATAAATCTTTAATGGTCTAACTACTTCTCTTTAATATTTCTTTTTCGGAAATTATTTATTCTACTATTTAAATTAAGTTGTCGTAGTTTTATTTTTTAATTTGATATGAGACACGTCGATAAGTTATAATTTAAAAAACATAAATCGAAATTAAAAAGATATATAGCTAAATAATAATCACTAATAACGATTTCGATTATTTGATTTTTTTAAGAATTTTTGGAAATATCAACTTTTTAATCTTATAATTTTTCGATTCTTTTTTCTAAATCAATAATTCGACGTATTGATTACCGAAGTTTGCTCTTTGTTTCTCATGTTCAGCTCTTGTAAATGTATCATGGAGAAATCTTCCGTCGATTGTTGGAATCGGCCCACCCATTGGTTGAATTGGAATACAATCTGGAGGAATCTAAAAAATTGATTAGTTAAAAATTGATAATCAGTTTGTGGATGTTTTTTGTACAAAGTAAATGAGTATCAATAATTTTTTGTTATGTTATAAATCACAAAGCAAATTATTTGAACAAATAAGAATATAATTGCATCTAGTTTTAATTAGAGATGGAAAATTCTCAAAAAAAAATAGGAGAATATTCTCGATTTTGAGAACAACCTTTTAAATATAAATACAGCTCATATAATGTGGCATGGTTCATATTTATGGGATTAATTCCTATAGAGGACTTATTTATGATGCTTAGAATATATTTGGCGTAAAAAATAAACAACAAAAAAGCAAGTATTATTCTAAGAAAAATTAAACAATTATCAGTTCGAATTTAATTAATTTTCAGACAGCTCTGGCAAAGTTTCCAAATCACTGCATTCAGAAATGTCTTCATTGCCATCATTAACCTCCACATTGGTGGCAGAATTTAATAACTTTAAATTATATGCAATGAAAGTTATTTTACCAGCTCGGTCAGCCGTAAGCCGATTTCGTTTCGCAATGTGAATAAAGCTGTAGGTGCTGAAGCTTCTTTCTGTTGCTGCACTCGACGTAGGCATACTTAGTATCTTGACAACATCCAACGGGATATGGTTTTTCCGCGGATTTTAAAACATATGGTTTTCCCAATAACCCTTCTGTGGATCGATAAAGGGCTAATTCTGCCATTACCTCTGCAGACTCACGTGGGCTTGTTACAGTACCCATATTGTCTATAAACTCTGTTCCTTGTATTTGTTCTTCTCTATTAAGATGAATTCCATTAAAATTTGGATCTAGAATATTTGCAGCAACATGGACTTTATTGCCCTTTTGCTTTCTCTTAACTAGAAACAGTTTTTTACTTCCCTTATCTCTTGGTTAAGCAAAGGGTTCGAAGAAACAACTTATTCAAAAGCATTCAGCTACTTGGCTAAACCTTGGTTTATCTTCTTCCAGTTAGGTTATGTATTTAACAATAGAGTTTATTAGGTGATAAAAGTCTGAAACTTTTACCCAAAAAACACACGTTAACTGAGTATATCTTCAACTGTTTCACAAACTGCAAATGTTTTTAATGCATATTTCGTATCAAGAAGACTTTTTAAACTATGAATAATTGATCCCCATCGTGTTTTCACAGGTAATTTTAAGGAAATGGCTGCTTTGGTATAAATTTTTTCAGTTTGCATTTTCTTGAAAGTAGCCAATAAAATTTCTTTGATGACAGACTTAATATCTTCCATAATAGTAGACATGGTTTTCATTTTTTTAACAAATTTTGCGTATGAGCAATGCATACATAAACAGAAATATGTGTGTACTTTTCATGAAGTATATTTCTTGCTTTAACCATTGCACTGGCATTGTCGGTGCCTATAGCAAAAAATTTTTCAGTACCAACTTCTCTCAAAATTTCATCAATTTTTTCAGCAATATATTCTGTGGTATGTCGACAAATATTTGTTGAAAAAATTGTATAAAACACAGTGTTTGGTCTAGTAATAATGAAGTTAAGTATGGATTCGTTCCTTTGGTTGCTCCAACCATCCCACTGTAAAGTAAGAGCATTCGCTTCTCCAATTTTCATTTTATTGTTTGCATCAACATTTTCATGCTTGGAGTCCAGTAATTTATTTGATAATAAATAACGTGTAGGCATTTTGAAAGATGGTCTGAAATGTTAGAAAAATGATTGCCAGTAATTATTTGCAACAATGGCAAAGGGAGTACCTGTAGCATAAACAGCCCTAGCAAATAGCAAATAGTTGATCTAGCTTCTCTTGTTCAACTTTTGATGAAACATTAATAAACCATGGAGTGTGGAACTCGATGAGGGTCTAACTTCTGATGTTGATAATTATCAGATAATTAAAGTAGATAACTAAAATATCAGAAAATAATTTCAATATTCATAGCTGCTAGTTAGTTTTCTATATATTTCTGCATTTTTTATATAATCAGAAGGGCAAACTTACAAATGTTCATTATTTTTCCATTAACTTTCTTCCACACAAAATAGTTCTACACATTACTCTTCGGTTTTATCACAACTTTGATTTTACCGTCCATTATTACCTCATCTGCCATGCTATATTTCACAGAATAATAAACCCACAAACCTAAACACGTTCATTCACGTCTGTGGGATTCCCGAACCGTCCGAGTTTTGTCAGGACCGACAGAGGGAGCCTCCATGCACAATGAGAAAATTACCTCGGAGAACTTCGTTCTCGAGAATATTCTTAGGAGAATATTCTCCTCTTTCATCTAAATTAATTTATAGTAAAACAGTGAAGAACAATACAATAGCTTCCTCTCATGCTTTTATTTTTATTCTCGATATTTTAACCGTTAATCACGGAAGTGCCGCCTGAAAGACGTCTGCTTGATTTGAAACGTACATACAGCTTGATAAATCTATCTTGGACGGTGAAGATCAAACGCGCCGTAATAAACGTTCGGCGGTAATTACGAAGTTCTTTTCTCTGTTATAACTTTGTTCTTCTCGTTATCATTTTCTCTGTAACGATAACATATTAGAAAAGATCAAGATCAGTCTACATTATCAAAGTGTAGTCTCGATTGTAAATTTCGGTGACTTCACAAGATATAAAATATTTGATATGTTATTTGCGAAACATTTCTTAATTGCCATAAACATAGTTATTATTACTTCCGCAACTCGGCATATTTGAAAATATGAATAATGAAACACTAAAGATTATGAAGCATATTTATTGAATATCAAATGTAGGTACCACAAAATGATATCTTATTCTTCATAAATTTCGCTGTTACAATTTGTTAGACTCAACTGAACATATATGATTGTTTTAGATTTTATAAATTCAAACAATCGTATGTCAACGCGAATGGACATTTACGGGTGAAACATTTTAAGCAAATTTACTTAGTATTTACTATTTTGAAGATCATTTCTTGCTATCTTCAAATATAAGTGTTGCAATTTTTTGAACGCAACCTTGCATAATCTTAGACACAAATATTAGGATAATTAATCTTTACGTATCTCAAGAACTAATTAAGATATCATCATACAATAAAATGCGATGTAAAGCAAATTTATTTAGTATTCAATAATTGGAGATCATTTCTTGGAATCTTCAACTTTCAGAGTTATAATTTTTTGAATGGAACCTTACATAATCTTAAACATAAATGTAAGGATAATTAATCTTTACGTATCTCAAAAACTAATTGATATATCGTTATGGAATACAAAGCAATTTAAAGCAAATTTATTTAGTATTTAATATTTTGAAGATCATTTCGTGCAATCTTCAAATTTCGGAGTTGTGGTTGTTTGAACGCAACCGTGCATAATCATATTAGGATTATTAATCTTTACGTATCTCAAGAACTAATGAGATATCATTATGAAATAAGAAGCAATTTATAGCACATTTATTTAGTATTTAATATTTTGAAGATCATTTCTTGGAATCTTCAAATTTCGGAGTTATAATTTTTTGAATGCAACCTTACATAATCTTAAACATAAATGTAAGAATAATTAATCTTTACGTATCTCAAGAACTAATTAAGATATCGTTATGAAATAAAAAGCAATTTAAAGCAAATTTATTTAGTATTTAATATTTTAAAGATCATTTCTCGCAATCTTCAAATTTCGAAGTTGTTATTTTTTGAACGCAACTTTGCATAATCATATTAGGATTATTAATCTTTACGTATCTCAAGAAGTAATTGAGATATCGTTATGAAATAAGAAGCAATTTAAAGCAAATTTATTTATTGTTTAATATTTTGAAGATCATTTCTTGCAATCTTCAAATATCGGTGTTGTGGTTTTTTGAACGTAACTTTGCATAATCTTTAGAGACAAATATTAGGATAATTAATCTTTACGTATCTCAAGAACTAATTGAGATTTCGTTATGAAATAAGAAGCAACTTAAAGCAAATTTATTTAGTGTTTAATATTTTGAAGATCATTTCTTGCAATCTTCAAATATCAGTCTTGTGATTTTCTCAAAGCAGTCTTGCATAATCTTAGACACAAATATAAGGATAATTAACCTTTACGTATCTCAAGAACTAATTGAGATATCATCATACACTAAAATGCGATGTAAAGCAAATTTATTTAGTATTCAATAATTGGAGATCATTTCTTGGAATCTTCAAATTTCGGAGTTATAATTTTTTGAATGCAACCTTACATAATCTTAAACATAAATGTTAGGATAATTAATCTTTACGTATCTCAAGAACTAATCGAGATATCGTTATGAAATAAAAAGCAATTTAAAGCAAATTTATTTAGTGTTTAATATTTCGAAGGTCATATCTTGCAATATGCAAATTTCGGTGTTAAGATTTTGTACACAACCTTGTATAATCTTAAATATAATTATTAGGTTAATTAATCTTTACGTATCTCAAAAACTAATAACGATATCATCATAAAATTAAAAGCAATTTAAAGCAAATTTATTTATTGTTTAACATTTTGAACATCATATCTCCAAATTTCCGATTTATACATTTTGCATCACCTAAAAACATAAATGTTATGGTAATTAATCTTTATGTATTTCAAAAACTAATTGAGATATCATTATGGACTAAAAAGCAGTGTAAAGCAAATTTAATAAAGATTTAATTCACTATAAATAATTTTCTTATTTTCCATAATCATCGTTGTTATGTTTTTTTAAACTCAACTCTGCATGTTTGATTGTAATAAATGTGAATTATCAATAGTAAAAAATATATATCTCAAGAACGAATTAAGATATTGTTGTGAAATAAAAAGCAATTTAAAGTAAATTTATTTAGTATTTAATATTTTGCAGATTATTTTTTTCAAATCTTCAAATTTTAGACTTATGAATTTTTGAATTCAACCTTACATGACCATAAACATTAATGTTAGAGTACTAAAATTTTGACGAGCGCTATATCTAAAGAAACTGACTGGTCAAGATAGATTTGCTAAGCTGTACGTAATATTAGAGCGAATACATAGAACAGCGACCCGATTAATTTTGCTTCTTCAAATCGAGATTCGCCATATCTGATCGTTGCACAGAATGTGATCTTCTCCTTTATTGTTGTTTTTGGTTTCGAGTTGTTAAATATAACTATGACTATACGCTTCAATACATAAAAGAGTGTTTCATCCTATAATGTTTTTTGACGGACAAAATATTGCTGTGTGTACACCAAATTTAAAATTTCTATAGTGATACTCTATGGCAGTAGAGCTTTTCACCAAAGCTTGTATTATACAAGTAGGTGCATATCTTTTAAATAGAAGATGTATCGGTAATCACGGAAAGATTACTATAACATCGATCAAGAACATCTTGAAGTTTGTTGATCTGCAATAGTGAACACGAAAAATTAGATGAACTGTATGAATGTGACTATGAATGGGATAGTGTAAAATATAATAGAGAAAAGCTCAGTAGATTTACCAAGCTATATACGCAAATAAATTATTATATTTATATAATAGCAGTTGCCTTTTTGGAATGGAAAGTATCTCAAAGTCATTGTGTCCCTCTAGAAGAACTTTTGTTTGGATGCTTTAGAAACTCTTATATGGATAGCTATAGGGTTGTTGTGGATGAAATAGTTTTTTAGTTTAGAAAACTATGGCTGTAATTCTTTGTTACAAATCGCTTTCATTTTGATATAATCAATTTTCAAACATGACTATAAATTATAGATACTCGAACTTCCTTTAAATAAGACGTAAAGTATATCTTACCATGGCTTGTTGAGGTTGTTGTGGTGGAATAGCACCAGGTGGTGGCATCGTTGGCGTATAATAACTTGTTGGCGAAACTGGTGGACTTGGATAAGGCCAATAGAAGATGGGCGGGGGGAAAAATTGTCGTGGACCTAAAGCTGGTGCTGCCAATTGTACCGGGGCGTACCCAGGAAAATTAGCGCCTGGATGAAAAGGTGCTGGTATAATACTTCCACCTATACAATAAAATTTAGTAAATAAAACGTTTTACATAGATAAAATACTTAAAATTAATAAAATAAAATATAAACATTAACGGCACAAAACAAATACAATAAGAACAACAACAAAAAATAAACAAAACCAACATTTACATCAAATTTAAAATTAAAATTAGTTAATACAAATAATAAAATAGTTAATGTTTTTAATTTGTAATTATAACTTAATTTTTTTCTGGTGTATTTACAAAAAAAATGGTAACAAAAAAGAGATAAAAAAGCGCAACTCATAGTCAGTTGAGTCGTTTAAAAAACAATATGAAAATGGTTTTATACATGCTCTAAAATGGAATGGTAGAAAAATGTGCCACTTTAAACCATAGGCTAAAACGGGTTTGCGCTTGTTCCAGTTTCCAATAGGCCACGAATGAGAAAAAGAAAATAAAAAAATAAGTTTATTTTGGCGCACCGAACCCACACACATAAAGCTTTCAGATTCAGATCTATTTGCGGAAATGATTCCGGACTATGATAACTACTCGCTAAAAATAAATTATTATTAGAGGAGAAAATTATCTTTTTATAGGGGATAATACAAAACGACAAGGATTAATGTATAGCAATAATCAAAACAATTTTGTAATCACTACTCTCAACATAAACATCTACATCTAAATTACTAAATTACAATGCAAACCTTGTCATAATGTACTCATATGAATGTTAATGTTCTAAATATGCAAAATAAGTAATAAATAGACTCACCACAATGCAGCAGAGTATATTTTTACCGTCTCACCGAGTCACGGTATAGCTGACACCACGTTGACGCCTCCCCAGGTTTTACCAACAAAACTAGCCCACATAGTAAAACTTAAACGATACTCATTGCATAATTTTATTTTATGCGAATTAAAAATATTGAAAATTCATTTAAAAATGTTATAAAAAATAAAAATATTGCAATGAATTTCGTTTACCGTCCGCAAAAAAAAGGAGTTTCTAACATTAAACCCAAAAGCATTAATGTGACATACATTTATTAATAAAGTGTAAATATTAGAACAAAAAAGAGCTGCGATAGAATAATATCCACAGTAAAAAATAATATTCACTCCACTTTGATAACTTTCGCTAGAAATTGGAGTGTTTGCAAATACACGTGGAGAATGAATTGTTTTTTTTTAATAATAAGGATTCCATGCACCACCCTGAACTACTAATTCAACTTAGTAAATCGATAAATAAATATAATATAAAACAAAAAGTTTTTGATAGATAAAAATTTGAAAAATCACAATGAAACCTTGATATAGTTAAAACTTGTATCATATATTTAACAACAAAAATAACAAAATAGATTTAGTAATTTAAGGTGATGATTTTTACTTAAACTGGTATACTTTAATGAAGAAGTTTTGCTAAATTTGGATTATATTTTTGAATAATAAAAAGATTTTATGTAGAATGTATACGAATTGTCTCGTTTAATAAAAAAGTATTTTTTGAATAATGAGGAAACCCCGCTAAATTTTTAAATAGGGTGTTGTTTCAGAAAATAGTTTTGATTTTGAATGTATTTTAAAAAAATATCACAAGGTAATGTGTCATAAGTTATTTTTTGGGCCATAAACCCAAATGTAGGTATCAAATATCAATCTTTATAAATTATATTAATTATAAATTATATTAACCAGAAAATTAAGTTCTAAACATATTCTCTGACGACGAATATGTTCTTTAAAGGACGAGAAATTATTTTAAACATTATTTAATTGGCTTTGAGAATCGCTTCACATATGGGGACTAAAAGTACTCATAACGAATGGTATGCACTTTACATTTACTCATAAAGTGTTATGATTTTTAAACCTTTACCTACAATAAAGTACTTAAAGATAGTATTTTAAACTAGAGGTTAGAATTGCAATGAGTCATGAAAATTTGGTTACAAACTACAAAAATTGAATGCATCATGAGTAAATATAATGATAAGAGCATATTATGAGTATGTTTAAGTACCCATAATGTGCAAAACAAATTTAATTAACAATAAAACATAAATATCCATGATATTAACAAGTACGCGAATTGATTGATGAAGCTTATCTACAACGCGTTGTGTTTAAAAACATTCAGGTACTTGATACCTTACATTATTGCTATTAACATATTTACTTTTAGATTAGGGAATAGAAGTTTTGCAGGTTATTAGAGAGAGATGCTCGGTTAATGAGATTTTTTACCGAAACTATACGAGGTCGAGATTCCTCTTCATATTTTCACACCATATTGGTATATCAACTGAATCAATTACATTTTTCGTATTCATAAACTATGTGCTATTACTTTAGCTTTACTAATGATGTGGACTTACATAATTTCATGTATCATGTCATTTATTCTGCGTGTTTAGAGTCCCTATAATTTTAATCACTTATTCATTGAAAAATAAATGATATTAATTGTACTACAAGTGCAATATAGTGCAATTAATAATAGAAATACATTTGTTGACCTAACAAAAATAATCTTTTTTATCGAACTAATATCATGTCAAGGTGAACTAATATTATAAGACCCGAAACATACGAACCATGAAATAGCTCAATGAGTAAGGTTCATAACTAAAGGAAGAGTACAAGTCAATAAATGCTATTACGAATATGTAAAAATATAAAGAATATATGTAAATTGATGGTTTTTTTTTTTGGATTCGAAAAAATATGTCAAAGCTCTTGCTTTCTTTATAAACATTTTGTTTCTATCTCTATGGACACTGCATTTTGAATTACTTTAATATCAATTAATTGCATTTAACGGTTGTTTTCCATCAAGGCGAGATTTGGTTCAAATGTCGAGTCTGTGCAGGAACATAATGTGATGTAAGAAAGCATGAAAACGCTTATACACTCCTGGTCTTGTATTATTAAATAATTAAAAGTTAAATATATATCAGAGTCTGAAAGTTTTGAAATTCCAGACAAATTTTCCAAGATCTATAAAAAGTGTAGTTTTACAAATATGTTTATAAATATATTTATCGCTCGCCATGAATTAGGTGTGTCACCTATTAACATCTTGCAGTTTCATATCAGATTACGCGAATTTCTACTGTTGTCGATCCAGATGTAATTGTGTTATATATTCAACACTATCAACTAACTGTGGTTTCACATGTAATAAAGATTATGTCATTAGGTCAACAAACGTTAATAAACTTTATCCGGCAGATAAACAACTCAAATAAATTACTTACAATTAGATCAACAGGAATTAGACTAAGTTGACAACAAGGAAACATCTTTGCTTGATTATATGACTATCGTTGCGTTGAAAGAAAAGGGATTTCGACTAATTTTGTTACATAACTTGTAAAAACTTTTTTTCTAAAGTAATATCCTAGTTGACTTATCCCAAAGAGTATATTTTTAAGAATTAACTGTTTCTTTTTAAGAAACCGAATATAACCTAATTTGATTAAAATATTGTTATTGGAAAATTTTTGTTATTAAATCCTAATTTTGTCAACTGAATCAGAATATATAAAGTTTCAGGTTTGTTTTAAGATATAAATCATTTCACATCTCCTAAAAATAGAGGAATAATGATTTTTTAAATAATATTGGCGTTTCTTAAGAAATCGGACAAAACCAAATTTGGTTAAAAGATAGGTTTTCAAAAATTTTCGTTACTGAACCCCAATTTTGACAATCGAATCAAAATTTATAAAGTTTCAGGTTCATTTTAAGATATAAATCATTTCACATCTCCTAAAAATAGAGGAATAATGATTTTTTAAATAATATTGGCGTTTCTTAAGAAATCGGACAAAACCAAATTTGGTTAAAAGATAGGTTTTCAAAACCCCAATTTTGACAATCGAATCAAAATTTATAAAGTTTCAGGTTCATTTTAAGATATAAATCATTTCACATCTCCTAAAAATAGAGGAATAATGATTTTTTAAATAATATTGGCGTTTCTTAAGAAATCGAGCAAAACGAAATTTGGTTAAAAGAGGGGTTTTCAAAAATTTTTGTTACTGAACCCCAATTTTGACAATCGAATCAGAATCTATAAAGTTTCAGCTCTACTTTAAGGTATAAATCATTGATTACCTCCAACAAATAGAGGAGTACCTAATTATTTTTTAAATATGTTTTCTTATAAGAAATTGAACGTAAATTTACTTACTCAGTGTAGTGGAAATTCCCTGATCAGTTTTTTATAATATTAAACGCATAAAACCCTCGCGGTACTTCAAATATTTTTTTAAATTTTCGGATGTACTAGTTTTGGCACGTAGCTATTTTCAGGTAGAACGTCAAGCAATATTAACTTTTAATACACTATTAATACCTTTTTCCTGAAGATAACTACCTGCAGAAGTTAGTAAAGCCGAAAATAAAAGCTTTTTCACATGAAGTATGTGAGCAGTCTATCTAGATAGACTTAGACTATCTTAATAGAAAATAGAATGATTAGATTACCCAGAATAATTCATAAAAATGTCATGAAATCTTTTGTTGGTACTAGCACCTTACCATGAGACAATCTACACATTGCATTAAATAGAAATATAGATTAAAACAGACAAAAATTATTAAAGAGATAATGTCATAAGAAATTAATATTGAAATATTAGAAAAAAATCGATACCTAAAATGACAAAAAATACCAGATTACGTAAAAAAACCTTTAAACTTCTATAACAATGTTAGTTTCTCACTTTAAAACTTGCGCAATTTTGGTTTCCCATCACAAAAAAGAATAATGAGTAAGTCGATCCTCTAAAAACCCAAATAAAAAAAACAGAAACAATGATGTAGGGTGAAAGCGAAATTGCACAAGCTTCCAAATAATAAAAAAAACACACCAAATCTAGCGAAAGCCAAAAAGGGAATGCAGAAAAAGGCTTAAACTAAACCTACAACCTTTCACAACATAAAACAAGCCTGCGCCAAGCACCAGCTTTGCGCAAACTCGTCCAGTATTAATCTAGTCACTAAAAAAAACGTCTCCAGTAAATATAAAAAATATCGATTATACATAATTAATTAATAATAATAATAAAGCTACCGAAAAAACTGTGAACATCTATAAGTGTCCCATGCCAAAAACCTTTTGACACAAAAATAAGAAATTTTATGGTCACGACAAACCCAGAAAATAAGTCGCTCTGAGCGAGATGAACAGGAATAATTAATGTAAATTAATTAATTATTATTATTAGTCGCAGGCCTTTTGCATTTTTTGTTACAACACTTTGTATACATGAGCCGTCACTGTATACACGAGATAACAACAATATCAAAAAAATATATTATATCAAAAATACAATAGCATTTTTTTTTTGTTTTGCTAAAAGATGGAATGTATCACATATCACAATTACAATTTAAGGCACTAAGAGTCTTTCGAAAAAATCCAACACCATAGAGAACGACTTTTTTATTTGTTGCTCCATCTTAAAAGCTCGTTATCAACGACCTTTTTCTTACCCGAAATTACGTACAGGCGTACATTTGGACGGTTTGGGACTTTAATTTGCATAAAATAAATGCAAAGATTAACATAAATTCAATGAAATGATAAATGTTAAGTTAAATTTACAAATAAAATGTAAAGCTTTTCTCAATATATACAGATTATGATTATTTTTTCACGATTAATTTTTGATCATTAAAAGTATTTGATCCTAAATTTAATTTTATTATTTTTATATTAGAGAGAAAAAATTTAATAAAATTGCATTATTTATAATAATTAATAAAAATTTAAGAGTAAATGTTTATAACGGTAAAATTTTCAAAAGAAAAATTTAATAATATAATTCTCATTTTAGTAAATAATAATTAATTAATAATAAAGGCTAATTGTTCTTGTTTAGGAGTTTAAATTAGAGTAGTACTTAAAAATATAAATGAATTACGTTATTTAAAAAAAAAAAAGATATTAAACATTAACAAAGAAAATAAATGCAAATAGTAAATATTATATTACTATTTTTAAAGTATTTTTAGTGTTTTTAAAAGATTTTCTCTTTTACATATTTGGGTAAAATTGTGGATAAACCGGAAGAGGTCCCTGAAAGGGTCTTTTAGCAGGTGTAGCCTCTCCTGTAGCAAAAGCATCCCCATAACTGCGTTTTACAGCAACGTGAGGAACAACCGGAACTAAACCTGGTGGGGCACCGGGTAATAAATGCGGAGAATATCCAACGGGAGTTCTCGGTAAAGTTAAAGGTTGTACCCTTGGAGGTAATATAAGAAATGGATGTTGTGGCAATAACTGTGGTACCATGGGTACAGGGGGTGGTTTTAAATTTTGCAATGGATTCGGACCTGTATTCGGAGACATCGGACCAACGTTCTGATTCAAAACGGCCATATTATGCTGAGCTATTTGATTCATCAGTAAAATATCGTTTTGAACCTGAGCTTGATTCTGTCTGGCCAAAAGGCTTTGTTGCGCGATCATTTGCGCTTGTTGTTGGGCAATAATAGCGTTATTCTCCCAATGCATCGGAGGCGGATGATGATGATGATGGTGTGACGCCTGTACGTAATTTTGGGAAATCGGGGCGACGACGGAGGTGCTCGGTGGGGGTGGCGGTGGATTATTAGTGGGCGGTAGGGACGCAATCGAGGGTAACATACCGGGGCTGAGCAGAGCGGGGGCCGCCTTTGCCGGTGAAACGGGTGCTGGGATTCCTCCCGTCAGCACGAGATTCATATCCTCGCCAGAACACTGAAACACTTCGATGTAACGCTGCTTTTTACCGAACGTCATGTATCGATGGTGTTTGCTTTGGGCAGTTATAAAAGCCGATTTCTCAGAATCCATTTGAATAAACGCTTCACCACTTGGTTGACCCTAAAACAAAAAAATAAAATTATTTCAAATACACATCGGAGTGCATAAGAATTCGTTGAACTATTTTCAAATCTTAATGAAACTAGAAATATAATAAAAAAAGAAAGAAATAAGATAGAAGAAAACTCTAGAAAGACGTTTAACTTCTTTTTTGCCAAATTCCGCCTGGAAGAAATATTTAAAGAATGAACATGCGATCTTTGTTTACAATATCTTTTTTTGTACCTTCAGTTCTTAATATCAGAATCACAGAGTAAACAACAACATAGCAAAAAGATTCTGAAGAGATGTAGTTGCAAAAATGTAGAATACGATTGATATTCTTTTATATTCAAAGTAGTTCGTTACTATGGTTGTTAGTAAGAAAGCAGAAAGATGCAAAGGAAGTTCAAAAAAGAATCTTATTAGTATGACGTTCTTCTGCCTTCTTTATACTTTCTTTCAGGTGTAATTATTTTATGAATCCAGAAAGATGCCAAAAGGTAAACAACTTTGAATTTCGTTTCTAGTTTTCTGTAATAACCCTTGAATCCCTATCTAAACTTCAATTTTGAAGAAATACACAAAAGCAAGTATAATAGAAGCCAAACAGAAACTAAAAATGAGTCAAGCAAAACAAAAATCGATAAGTAAACAAAAAAGTCAAAGCAGGAATTTAGCTTCATTTGCTCCTTCTTTCCGCCTTCTATTTGGCATAAATAAATTCAAATTCATTTTATTGTGTTTTAAGATATCTTCCTTTACACTCGTCATGGATTACTTAGTATTAACAAAAAAATACATATATTATATAATTACAAATTGACAAAAAATTACATAGTTACGAAAGCAGTTACAATTAAAATTCAGACACAACATTCTGTGTTTAGGAATTCCTCAACAGAATAGAAAGCGCAGCATAATAAAAATGGTTTTAAACGTCAAGCGGTAAGCGATTAAACGGTTGCTGGGACGTATGTATCGGGCCCCGTTAAGACTTTTGTAATCTGCAAAAATTAGTCCGAATATTATGCTTGCCTCTCGTGTCATAATGATGAAAATTAGAAGAGATATCATAGGAGTGTTTGTTCTTATTGGCATATAAAATTGCTTCCAATATAAATTCTGATGGAATAGTTAAAATGTTTAGCCTCTTGAAGAGAGGCTTGCAGTTCTCCATAAAACCGACCCCACCAAGCAAACGGATAGCTCTACGCTGGAGCTTGAAAATATGACTACTAGCTGGAGTATTTCCCCATGCCAATATACAATATGTCAAAAGCGAGTGGACTAAAGCATAATATGCCATTCTCGCAGTTTCAGAAGGAACCGTATTAACTATACGTTTCAGTGCGTAAATGTTTCGGCTCACCCTGGCCCCCACAGCTTGGGCATGCTCGACAAAACTTAATTTTGGAGGAGTTGCAATTACGCCTAAAAACTTACTGCCGCTGGGATTCTGAGGGGGAAGATCTCTAAGGCCAAGTGACATATGTACCCTTTTAGAGTTATTAAGAGAAAGTTCATTTGCCACAGTCCAATCAGTGTGAACTCTACGCATCACATTATCCGATATACGGTGTAAATCATCAATGCATGGACTACGAATCAACAGGGTAGCATCATCAGCATAAAGAAAGCATTCAACATTGATCCCAACATAATAGGGTAGGTCATTAATAAATAATAGAAACAGCAGAAGCCCAAGAATCGACCCCTGTGGAACTCCTCTACATACCGGAATGCGATTTGAGACTTTAGAATCACAGTTTACGCATTGATTCCTTCCCTCCAGGTATGACATAATGAAATTTAAACTACTACTGTCAAAGTTATAAACTGTTTTAAGTTTTTCTAAAAGAATTCTATGCGATACGCAGTCAAACGCTCGCGATAGGTCAATAAATATAGCAACACAATATTCACCGTTCTCAAAAGCTTGTAAGCATGAATTCAGGAAGTTCACCACAGCATCTGGTGCAAATATTTAAAGATACCTGAAAAGAATTTATAAAATGGCAGAAAAATTCTTTGGAGAACAAAGTTTAATATGGTTTATTCGAGCAAATCCTTTTAATGCAAGTCGTTTTCTCATCATTTGTATAAAAACATTTGTTGTATTTACACCATTCATGGATAAACTTAAAATAAATACCTTAGTCGGAATAACTACAAAAAACTAACAACTAACTTACAATTATGAGATAAATAATGATTTGGTATTGGTTTTTTCATTCAATACTATGGGTTGTTTCCGAACATATTTAACTCATATTCAATCATGCAAACATTTAAAAAAATCTTAAACAATATGTTTATTCAGGTCGAGTTTCGAGTTACACACAATTTAGCTCAATCCAAACTAACTCTATAAACACAAACTATGTGTCTAATTCAAATTAGGTTTACTCAATAGCCGAAATTAACCAATTTTACGCATTGTGGTAATCAAAAAGTACCTACAACGCGTTGTGAGTATTTAACGTTTACTGAAAACACATTGATTACACCAAAAAGTATCCACAACGCGTTGTGAATATTTCACGGTTGCTCACAACGTGTTGTGGCTATTCGATGTTTACCCACAATCGATTGCTTTCATTTTGCAGCCAGCAAAATGATTTCTAAACATTTTTACAGTCGTTTGCCAGTATGCGTTTCTGCTATTTTGTTAATCTAAGCTTAAAATCTGTAAATATAATAGCAATGCAATCAAAATTTGAAACTGCAATACGCGAAATGTGATTGTGATCATTAAAGATGACCTGTTAAAGGTGACAGGATCGATGACCGTTATAATACAATACTAAATCAAGTAAAAGAGGCGAAAGGGAACAAAAAAGACGGACAATATGTTTTCAAGATTATCGCCGCATTAAACGTTTTGATATACTAACAATTGGTGATCATGCAAGCTTTAGTTCGGCAAGCTCCGAACTAAAATTCTTTTGTAGAATCGAGGAAATATGTGACATTTTAGACTCGACACATAAAAAATTAGGTCATAAAAAGGAAAAAGCGATGGAAGTAGAAATAAATAAAAAATATTGTAAAATAACACGACCAATCTATTAAAACCTCTGTGAATGTTGTGCGCTGAAGAAGAAAGCAAAATGAAAACAACCTGTCGTGAAACCAGTGATAATATCTGAATTCAATTCACGATGTCAAGTAAGTAAATAAATTTGTAATTATGTTTTGCTTTTTAACTCAATTAACCTAACTACCCATGTAACTTTTAAATTAATTTAGTAAAAAGTTTAGTAAAATAATTACTATAACGAAAATAGTTCGAATAAAAGGTTGGTATAATTATTCACAGATAGATCTCATATTTTGAACTATCAAGAAGTTTATAGTCACAAAGTTTATAGTACTGCGTCCACTAAAAACAAAGACTGCTGAAGAAGTAGCAGATGTCAATTTGGATATATTTTGCTTAATTGGAGCTCCTAACATTCTTCATAGTGACAATGGCCGTGAATTCTCGAATTCTCCTTTTATTTTGATACTTGAGTTTATTTTTCCTATAAACGAGTATTTTGATTCAGCTAATAAAAGAGTTAGCCATTAAATGGAATGGCGTCAAGATTGTACACGGAATAACCACGACATTCCAAGCCAAGGTTCTGTTGAACAAACTAACCAAGATGTCCGTAATAGTTTGGTGGCTTGGATGAGAGATAATAATTCGACGAGTTGGTCAACTGGTCTTCGATTTGTTTAAAGTTCGAAATATTCGAGTTATCATAGTGGAATAAAAAGAAGCCCGTACGAAGCTTGGTATGGAATTGCACAAAAAACTTGAAGAGCATTTACGTAAAATTAACCAAAATGTCAAATCAAACATAGAGAATGTAGCAGACCAATGAAAATTTATTACCACTTTTGGTAATGGAAGAACATCGCAGAGTTTGTTCAGTCTGCAATGAGGAATATAATGAAGAAGTATCTGCCTTTGAGTGCCCTAAACTTTTTCATTTAGGATTAGCTTCTGTACCGGCATCCGATATACCTTTATGTTACCTTTGTGCTATAAAAGGCCCTTAATCAACCCTTTGAAATGTCTCAATTGAGTTCAATTTGCTACCAATTAATACCCTTGGTACACTCGTATACCAAATTTGGTTTTTCTAGCTTAATTTATTACGAAGATATTGAACTTTTTAAAAATTTAAGAGCCAACTTTGAAGGCCTATAACTCCTCAGGTGTACAACTTAGTATAGGTAAGTTACTTTAAATCATCTTAATTTATTGTCCTCTACATGTCCCTGCTCTGTGTCGGTTTTTATGTCAATCACCCTGTATATAAGATAGAAATTGTATTTAATTTTTTATTGGAAATTAAAGTATCCTTTTTACAATACCTTATTTATTCACATCTACTACGTAGTTATTTCTAATGTAATCGTTCGCAAAAATAAATGCGTCTTATGTTAGATTCAAGGGCGTCTTCGAATCGAGGTCATCTTGACAAAATACTGCTAAATTTCGTTTCAATACGTCTTACCATTTAATACTTTACTGCGAAGATTAAATTAAAATAGAAAGTAATTCTATAAATGATTGATTTCAATTTAAATGAAGTAAATGTGCGGCGTAGAAGGTAAAATATTTTTATTTAAGATATCTACGAACTTTTTTACTGGTTCTAAACGCAAAATATTTCTGTTAGTCGATGACGCTGCTGTAATAGATTTTGTGAAAGAACGTACAAAAGGACTGGTAACATGTTGATGACTTTTGAACACAATTCAAGAAATGATCAAAAACTCGCAACTCAACTTGGAAAGAACAACAATTATGAATTCAATAAAACTGTTAATGATAATGAGACATTTCCCAGTGATGTTATAGTTCGCACACAAAGCAACGACTGGAGGACAGCACATTTTATGAAAGACAGGATGTGTGCAGAACACTGGTGATTTAGCGAACCCAAATATTAAAGGACCTACAGTAAATTTAGAAAACAGTATGTGATGTCGCCTAATTGAAACGATATAACTAATTCCACAAGCATATGAAATTGGAGGACACATTGCAGCGTATCTGCTAAAGTTAGGAAGGAGAATGTATGATTTCGCCTAATTAAGCAGAGATCGCTTACAGCTGACACTTCTGGCCCCGACTGAATTTAGAAGATAATCTATTTTGGTTTGATTAAGCCAAGATCGCATGTGGCCGAACCAGTCCAGTTAATACTACCTATATCAACCCTAAAAATATATGATTTTGTCTAATTAAACCGAAGTCACTTGCAGGTGAGAAGCTGTTTTTAATATAATATCAACCCAAAAGTAGTGAACAAATATTAAAGGGTATCTGCCGCAAGTGGTCTCGTCTAAATTTATGTCGCAAAATGGATTTGACCTGTTTATGCCGAAGTAGCTTCCGGCCAAGAAGCTGCCATTAATACTAATCAACCGAAAGCTGGTCAACCTGTAGGGTCCCGCAGTGAAACTTGACGGTTTTGAAATAGAATAATTCAATTAATGTTCAAGTTATTTTATTATTATCTCTTTGTATTTAAAAAAGAAAGAGTTGAAGTTTAAGATGTATACAAAAAATCGAAACAGCATTATGTAGCAAAAATAACATCACTTAAATGTTGACACACGGGGACAAATCTGGCATGAAATCGACATGAAGCTTACCTGATGGCATCACTAACATCAATAGACCACTATTTGATTCCTAGTGATATGAGACAGAAGATTTGCTTCAAGCATAATAGACGTAAAAATAAGAAGAGGAGCCCCCTATGGATCAGACCATCTTCCGGTGCAGGCAACACTAAGGTGTAAAATTAGCAGCCAAGCCCAACAAAAAAGGCACAGAAGTGAAAAACTTAACATTGAAAAACTGAAACCACTGGAAGCGCAGCACGGATTGAGACGATAGCCGACGATAGACGACCTGTGGAGTATTATTAAGACAGCAGTGGAAGAGGCATCGCAGAAAGTTTTGGGAATCAAGGATAAACCTAAAAGAGCGGAACACAATAAATTCATAGCTAGACCAACAAGAGAGAAATGGTAACTATTCAGGAAGGCGTGAAGGGAGGCGAACAATATATGCAGACGGTAGAGGCGAAACAAGGAAGATAGTGAGCGATGAGAGTGAGGTAAAAAACACCTGGAAAAATTACTTCCAGAACTTACTAAACATGGGATCCCAAATGCAGGTGGACAATGGTACAACAAACCAGGAAGAGGTGAAAACCACGAAGCACACGAAGCCATGAATATAGCTGAGCTTTGGTAACTCCTTAGGCTGGTCGATATAACCGCAGTGAGCGTTGCGAGGATGTACAAGGGGCCCGTTGGGGCCTAAGTGCTGCGTGCGTTGCATGCCCCCCCCCCATTGCGCTGCTATGTACGGGGTATAAACTGTTCACACATATCCCGAACCAAAGACTGCAACCTTTTGCCGAAAACATCATAGGCGAGTATCAAGTAGGATTTAGAAAGGGGAGGAGATCCACCATAGATCAAAAGCAGTTAAGCAGATACTAAATAAAGTCTGGGAATATAATGTCAACGTGTATAATATATTTATGGACTTTAAGCAAGCTTACGACTCATTGATAGAGAACAGCTGTTTAAGATCATGGAACACTTTGAAATCCCAGCAAAGTTGATACGACTTGTTCAGAGCACAATGATGAATTGACGGACGACTTTCAGATCTCGCAGGGTTTGAAGCAGGGAGATGAGGTGGCCCCCACCCATTTTACGGAAAAGTCGGCGGAAAACGCGAATGTCTTCCAAAGAAGGATCTTGAGGAGAATATTTGGGCTACCATCTCCTTGCAAACATAATTGCAAAGTTGGCATTGTCCAAAGTTTTAAAGTTCGTTGTGAGAGATATACAAATGCATGCTTATGCGCTTTGCTGGAAAGAAATTGTTGCAAGATAGTTGGATTTAAAAAAATCTAGATTGATTAACAAATTGATGTTGACGAATTTCATGAAGATCAAGAAATTTTGTCATCACCAATTAAATGCGAATATTGAAGGTTTGTTTTGGTATGATGTGAAGATTAAAACACTGTATGGGATTTCATTAATGAAGACGACATTTAGAAACCTTACCTTAATGAAAACTTGAAACAAGATGAACAAGATGTTGAATTACAAAATCATATAGAATCAAACCAGAAGCAAGAAAAGCTATGTACCTATTTAATAAATACATAAACGTTTTCGCTAATTAATAAAAAATTTGTTTTGTTTTACCAAACATTGTTTTAGGTTTTTTATCCCAAAAATAACTCTGTATGTGGGATTCAGACATCTATAGATGGCATTTCGAATTATTGGGATACCTCTATAACTGAGATTTTAAAGGTTGTCCCTCAAACTTCCTACTTATCCAGGTTCCACTGCGTCAATAAAATATAAGATACCAATGAATAATGATCAAAACCAACAAATCATAATGTCTAATTTCAAAATGTATTATTGTAACATTAAGTATATATTTTGAATAGTTTCTAATAAATAAATACACAAGATAGAATAAAACGTGAATTATAAGAAAGTAAAATGATTTCTTTTTACATCTTTATTAAAAATTCACATCAAAGGATTCATAATAAAGCTGAGTTAAAATAAATTGTTACAATATTTTGATCATTGGACATTGCGTAGGTACAACAAAAAAAAACTTACTTGAGCATTATACACCATATGTACACCTTGAAAAATAATATTCTTCGCATAATCCCCCAAAAATTCCAAAATATGTTCCACCTGAGCCTCGTATGGTAAACCCCTCAGTCTAACACAGTCTTTTCTTGTTCCAGAAGTTATTATATGTTGTGGTAGTAAAGGCATTTGCGGTATCTGTGCAATTAAAGGCGTTGGTTGCTCATACGTTTTTGGATCCAGAGATCGATTTAAAACCTAAAACGATGTGTTTTAATTAATTTGGTGTTATTTGCGGAAATTAATTTTCAACTTACTTGCTGAACTTCGGCTGTTGTTGACCTAAACAATTCTATGTATCTCGATCCTATACTCTCTCGATGTTTTTTAAGAGCTTTCGGTGCATCCGATTCATTCGCAAATAGTACAAAAGCATCTCCTGTTGCTCGTCCATCTGGTTTTTTAACAAAAAGTACACCATCCGTACCGTCGAGTACTTGACAAGGATTGTCACCAGCAGCAAAGAAATCCAGCTATAAATATAAAAAAAAACTTAAAGTAACATAGTAATCATTTAATAAAGTTAAATAATTAAGTATAACGAACCCAACTATTATTATAAAATAAACTTATCTAAATCGTTTTCTGTTATTTCGCTTATAGATAGCACTGTTATTTTAAATGTCGTCTTTTAGAATTGTTTTTTTTGCATTCTTTGGCTAAGTCAGAGCGTTGACATTAAAATACTTTTCATTACATAATATAATAATTATTTTTAATAATCTTACCACTTGTTTTGCGGTGCAATCATATGGGAGACCTCTCATTCGTACAATAACCGTCGCTCCTCGGGATAAAAACGCTTGAGCTTCACAATTAGAACCACCAGCTACCGCAAGAAAATCTTCACCGGAAGCTCTATACACCTCTATGTATCTCTGTCCAATGTGGTGTTTATGCCTTTTTAACGCCATATCTCTGTGTTCTTGATTAATGAATCGCACCAGGGCTTCACCGTTTCTTCTTCCTTGTGGTGAAAGGCAAAGAGCTACACCACCCCTTTTAAAAAAAAAGAAAATAAACAACGCTATCAATAAATGATTAAGACGGTCGTTAACGTAATTTTCTAAACACTTATAACCACAATGGTGTTTTTCTTTTTAGTCTTTCGCATTCTTTGTGCTGTGTAGTTAATACGCCATTAAGACTTAAAAATGCCAATAACAACTGTGGTGTTGGTGATTACAGAAAAGAAACAGAAATAAAAAAAACTCATTCAACATTTTTACACGAAGAATGAATGTATATTATTTTTTTTTTTCATTTCTCAGCATTAATTTGCTTTAATTCGCTTAACTAACAAATTTTATTCTTTTAATTTTGTAAATTTTAAAATCAAAACGTGTTCTACTGTAGGTATAAAACGTAATCAAAATCAATCCGGATTTATTTGTATTATATTTTAAGTGCTTATAAAATAGTTTATATCTTAAAAGATATCATCTCAATCGACGACTTTTCGATAAAACGTCTTGATTTTTTTTCTTTATCAGTCAATAAGAAGTTATTAATAAAAATTACCCGTTTTAAATCGTTTTTCTTAAGATTGGTTCTCAATTGTATATTGTTTCTATCGGTTTTCAGATAAAGGCTTCGTTTATACAAACTGTATTAGATCGTTCTAATATTCTCATTTTAAAATCTACGACACTCGGTCATTATCTGACGACGACTCGAAGTTCAAAAATGACGATAGCATTTGCTCCCGACACGTGACATCAAAAATATGTTATATCTCGAATCCACTTGTTGTAATAACTTAAGGTGACACATCACAAATTATTTTTTTTTAATGAGATTGTTTATATACAGGGTGATAATTGGTTAAAACTACATGTATGAATTAAATATCCATTTCAATCTTGGGTTACAAAAAATATGTAGTTTGATTGCTTTCGATAAAAATAACCTTTTTAAAGTGGTAAATTGCAATGGAAAAATTTAACAGTTATATTTCATTTTCAAACCTTCTTGGAAATGCATAACAAAAATGTTCATATTCCCATTACGGTAGGAATTGTTAAAAACAATTAGACGGAATATGCTTTAAACTTTAAAAATAGTTAAATACTTATGAAGAAGAAAAAAGTTAGGCATTTTTAGTAATAAATTATTCATTAATAAACCAATGAGTCATGTATCAATTACTTTGATTTGTGAAATTAATTAAAATGTTGTAATGAATGAACTAATCTTTGTTACATTTATGAATTTCAACATTTTTAGTATCGCAATTTCTGAAAAATTCCAAGTTATTTCGCAGTTTTCTGATATCATGTGGAACTGGGCATTTTATCGAATTAAGACATTAAAAAGTTGATTATCAATCAAATTTCTTGTATCAACCTCTACAAATATTCCCTTTATAATTTTGGTCTCCCTGATCCTACAAAATTTATCGTTCAGAAACTTAAATCGTGCACCATCTTTACGAAGTGCTTTTAGAAAATTCTTGATTAAACCAAGTTAGATGTGCAATGGCGATAAAACGATTTTGTCAGGTGTTATTAGTAGCTTATATTTAGTATATTTGAATAGTTTCTGGTAAATGAACCCCGTATACAATACATAAATACGAAAATATGTATCGAATAATATTACTTTTAGACTTAATTTTGATTCGTCAATAAATTCGTTTGGAGCAAGGTCTTTAACATTCTTACAGAGAATTAAACTATCTTCCTTTGAATAAAAAATGGTGGTTAAAGACCTGTGTCGCTAACTGTAAGTTTGTATGTTTGAATGTCAGCCTGTAAAAGATTCCGCTGTTTGTAAGGCTTAATTATAAGGGTGGAAAAATAATTTATATATCAAATTAAAGCTTAAAGTATGATGAATTACTACTGAAACTTCTTAAAATAATAAGTTATAATTTTTTAAAACAAGACTGTATTTCAAGTCAAATTTCAAATTTTTGTAGGCCGCAATTTATGGGATTTCAAAAAAAGGTGATTTATTAGCTCACCATCAAAACTTTGACATATGATAGCTAATCCAATTACCAATTATTTCAATTATTTACGAAATTATAACACTTTAAAGTTTTCTGCAGCGAAATTATTAATAGTCAGTAATCAAACATTCAACAAAAACAAATTTGTCATTGTGATATGTCAGTTTACTGTAAGGTTTAATTATTACATACAAGAAGAAACTCAAAATGTACGCTTATAGCACTGAAGAGTATGCTGATATAATTTTCGTGTATTGTTTTTGCAATGAAAATGCTCGACAATCCGTACGAGAATATCAAGATAGATTTCCACAGCATCATTTGCTTATTATTCAGTTTTTAGCGATTTTTTCAGAAGACTTCGAGAAACAGGTAATCCTGCTCCAGCAAAAGCTATTAGAGCGCATGTTGTTAATATAGAGCACGAAGAAGCTGTAATTAATGCTGCCATTGATAATCCTTCCATCAGCACTCGAAGAATAGCACACATCATACATGTAAGTCAAAATTTTGCAGGGTGCGTATTGAACCGCGAAGTCCTTCATCCGTATCGTAAACAGAATGTTCAAGCTCTACAGCCAGGAGATAATCAGCAACGGTTAGCATTTTGTGGTGAATGGTTCTTGCAGCAAATAATGCCCAAAATAATGACTTCATTTCAAGTGTTCTCTGGACGGATGAATCATGACTTACACAAGATGGTATTACCATAATGAACATATCTGGGCATTACAAAATCCGCATACGATTAGACCAAGGAAATTTCAACAACGTTTCAGCATCAACGTTTTGGGGTGGAATATTTAACAACAATTTACTAGGCTTGCATGTACTTGATAGACGTTTGAACGCTGTAAATTACAATTTTTTTTTTGAACAATACACTTTTTGATTTACTTGAAGATATACCTCTTAATGTAATTCAAAATATGTGGTACCAGCACGATGGTGCCCCACCTCATCGCGGAAGAGTAATTGTCGAGTGGTTAAACCAATATTTTGCAAACAAGTGGATTGGTAATAATGGTCCATTTGCTTGGCCACCTAGATCCTCCGACCTTAGTCCATTGGATTTCTACTTATGTGGTCAAATTAAATAAATTGTGTATCAAGTGGAAATTAACACACGAGAACAGTTATTAAACAGAATACAAATGGCTGCTACTAAAATAACAAATCAACCAGACATATTAATTCGGCTGAAGAACTCTTTAGTTCGTCGTTGTGAAGTATGTATTCTAGCAGAAGGAGGCTATTTTTGAGAACAATATTTGTAATATTTATGTGTTTTAAAAAAAATGCAGCAGTTAATTATGATATAAAAATTAAAACTTTAAAGTGTTATAATTTCGTAAATAATTGAAATAGGACATATGTTCATTAACATTTTTTTTTGTAATTGGATTATCTATCATATGTCAAAGTTTGATGGTGAGCTAATAAATCACCCTGTATATCATATTAAAAAAAACTACTTTTGAATTCTATGTATCAACCCTTTTCTTATTCCCATAAATTGCTGAGTTACAATTTTGTGAAAAGTATGTGCAAAATTCTTCAGAAACAAACACTTTTTCAAAAGATGTACGGTTTAACCCTAAACTTTCTAGTTCTAGATTTAGTATTAGTTCTAGTGATAGTGATAGTGTTAGTTCTAGTTTTAGTTTAATTGATCATTTGCAGCCGCTAACTAGATGGATAACAAACAGCAACTGTTCAGAGAGAAAATAAAACGGGACTTAAAAAAAATGTTGTTGCAGAATATAATAAAATAATGATGACGTTTTGGCCAATATCGAGAGGAATATACGTAAAAGACACATTACCTTAAATAATGGTATCAAATTCAATATTATCCAACTTACCGAGCCATTATACCACAAGGACATTTTTGTTGATGAAGTCATTATAGGTGATCAATAAGTTTCTTAGTAAACCGATACTGTATTTCTGAATATATTGCATTGGATGGAATAGATATCTATCAGAACCTATAGAAGATATAGATGCTGTAATAGAAAGGATGTCGAGAAACTTCTGCTTTAGAATGTTTCATTCTAAGATTTCATGATATTTGTTGAACCGAGAATAATTATTTACGAATCCGTTGATGTCCATTTATTAATGTATCTTATTGTTGTAATAGTTTAAATTTGTGTTTCTATACAATTCTTTTAATATCTAAATTCAACTACTTCAACTTATCTTCATGTATGGTCCATACACGTAAGATGAAATAATAATAAATATTGCCCACTCGACATATTTAATGGTATTTGTAGTTTTTTCAATTTCTTAAGAAATAAAACATGTCAAACTATTACATGAGTAATCAAATGAAGTAATCGGCCAAATTATTACCGTATAAAAGTAGAGATTGGATTACTTACACTGAAGTACCTATCATAATTCTAGGATTGCTATCTTTTTGTTAAACAATGAAAATGATTTGTACTATTACCTTACAATTTTAGATGAAGTATCTATGGCTACAACAAAATAATGCGACTTTAACGAAGATAAACATTCATTGATATGATTACTAAATCACTTAACAATTTTAAATCTTGTAGGTTTTTGAAACATTAAAAATCAGCGTGAAAATTCAAAATACTAATACAATGTCTACGATTTGTTTATATGTTTTTGCTTCTTGTCTCTCTTCTGAAACAAGAAAGCGTTAGAATATACAACCTTAACGAGGCTAGCGTAAAATGATCAAACAATCACAAAAATATGTAAAAGTTCAATTTTAATTTTGACAAGTGAAATCATGCCACACAAAATAGATATTCTCGACCAGATTATTGAAAGGCAATAAATACAGTAACCGTTCTTATAATTTTGTTAAAACGAAAAATATACAAACGGTACCGATTTGTAAACCATATAAAGAAGAGTATTTTTTCGGACATAACTGCGTAATATGTAAATTTGTCATCTGTTCAGATGAAATAATTCCAAATTTAAATTTGCGTCAAGTTGACAGCTAGAAGAAATGGCAGCAAGAATTTTTTCTGGGCCTACTGCTGTTTTCCATGTCATTTCTCTTAGTATACATACTGTAACCTACTGTAGTGGATGACCTATGATGTCATGTCACCAAATAGTGACATGACAAAGTAAGAGAAAAACACTTCTAAAGTCTTTCTGAAATCGAATAAAAGCAACAAGATTATTCCTAAATGCACTTTGTATCAAAAGAAACTCTCACTAGCACTGATGTCTTACTCCACCTTTCTTGGTCGGACGCCCGACAGAAAATCAGAGAGAATACGTACCTTGAATTTGGATAATCAGAAACTCCAGATGAAAGCCTATTAATATGTTGAACCTATTTATGGTGAACGAGAACGTCATTGCATTTCACAAGAGTTTGGATGAGTGTGACAGCTTAATAAAAACAGTATTCTGAAGAAAAGAGCTTACACTAAAAACGAGATACGGAAAAAGCGGAAATGTCATAAAAGAATAAAGTGTCAAAAATGTATAGTTTGTTCTGTGCGAAAAACGAATATTCTAAACTTGTCTTTCAAAAAGCTACTTGTTTCACAACATTTAATTCATATGTGATAAGTTTGTAGTGAAAGTACAGCTTGCCAAGCACGAGGATATTAAAGCTGACCTAGTTGCTCATCATGACAAACACAAGACAGTAGCAGATCAAGCCTATGAGGAAAAACGAGCAGATTGGCTTTGTTATTAATTAAATAGATTATTTTGACTATGCAACAATGTTATCGTACGCCACTTTTAAATTCCGCAGTTGCGTTTTATAAACGTTCTAGACATTTAATTGAACAATTTATAAAAATAAAAAGGTGTTGTATACTAAGTATAGGATGACATAGATTCTGGGGGAGGAGAGAATTGCATCTTGTAGAAGCATTTACTAAAGTACGTTCCTGTCAACACCAAACATGTCATACTATATTCTGACAGCTTAATAAAAACAGTACTCTGAAGAAAAGAGCTTACAATAAAAGCGAGACACTCAAACCTGTCAGATCTTCTGATACATGTGGAGATCAAATTAGAAATTCCAATGTGAGATCAATGTTTAGTTGGGTTTTACAACAGACTGGTATCATCATCAACAGACAGTTGATCATAACTTCATGATGAAAAAAATTTAGAGATTTGAAATAAAATTGCAAAAATTGTAATAAAATTGTCTGATTTCTTTGAATTTCTTAGAACAGTTCTTTATTTTAGGAATCAAGGATACTAGAGGTAAACAATTCAAGTGGTTGGACAAAAAGTGGTTGTGGTATGGAAAAGAGTATGGCGTAATAGCCTATAAAGACACTTTAAACAGAACCTAAAGGATTACTAAAAAAATTTATGATTAACCACCATTTGTTTATTAAGTAAAGTAGTATTTTTTTAAAATGAAAATAACCAAGAAACCACATTTTTTATTCCAGTTAATTAAAACAACTTGAGCATTCAAAAATGCAAAAAAATGCAAAAATGCATCTGCGCTTATTGAAACTTTTTGAAAAAGTTACCATTTACTTTATCCCTCCCCTCTTAGTATACCGATTCATTGCTCTATTACAAAGTGTCTATTAATTTCTATTCTTCCTGGCCAGCTAGTATTACAATGTATTACAGCTGTTAGTCAATAGAGTACATGATGACACAGTATTACATGATGTGTGCAATAACATATGCTTTGCTATATATTTACGTAAAATACGTTTTAAAAATTGTAATCGTTTTTAGAGGACCACTACAATAAACGGTGGCAAATGTTTCAACTTATCAAGATGTTAGTAAAAGTTACTAATAATATAGAAACAAAAAATTTTACGACGTTACAGGCATTACAGCGGACGGAATGAAAATGTTTCAAAAGCCTTAGATACTACTGCAACTAAAAAAACTGGGAGAATTGATTAGCATTAACACAATATTTGGAGAACGTGGACTCAATTTTACAAGAAAGCAATATTTCAAAAGTTTCAAAAGTTATGTATTGATTGTTCGAGAGACTGGCATATTAATCCAGGCTATAACAGGATGCTAATATAACAATTAATAGCATCTATGTGGCTAAAAATTGGCAAAAGTAGTCTATATACTCTTGCACAAAAGTAATACATATTACTCTAATTTATGTCACAACACTGCAATGCATCTGATCATTTAGTGTAGATCTTATAACTTCTACGATGGTGATCTGCACTCAATATAGCTTAAATATAATTAAATTTTGCATTCTAGCATTCAAATGATAATTATCAAAATTAATTTTCCACTTTTATACACAAATACATTTTTTGTTTACTATCTACATTCTTTCTTACACAAAAAGTTTGCGGAATTCATCTGCCGCAAAACCCATATAGTTATCTTTTATTTAATTCAAAATATTCATCGCCGAGTATGTTTGAAGTATCGATCTTTTAACTAAGATGAATTGAATTTTGAAGTTATACTAAAAAATGTTAGACGTTTAAAAAACGTTTAACTCTAAAATTCTCCGAACATCGCTGGAATATAATTAAAACCCGTCTAAAGGCGTTTAAAACCATTTAAAAAAACACCATAAAATGTTTAAATTAATTTTCTCTTATTGAAATTATAACTTCAATCTCCGAAAACCAATAATGATTATTGGTTAATACGCCTTTTAAATTAAAAGATAAAAATCAAAACAAACTTAAACTTTTTTTGTTAATCAAATTTTGAACGTCACAATTTTCGATTATAGATAAAGAAGTTATAATCTAGTTACAAATCCTTGTTATTTTCTTCGCGAGGAATGATTTCGCAAAAAAAACTTTTAAAATCGTTTAATCTCAAAAAGATTTAATTAACACTTACTTGGCAACATTAAGTCCTCGAAAGAACTTAGCAATATCCTGATCACTACTTTGCCAGGGTAATCCTCTTGCTCTCACCACACAGTTTCCGTCAATTTCATCGTCTTTCGAGCTGTAAACCAAAGAACAAAAACAGTTACTTAAAGTTGCGTGAAAACGTTAAAACGGACGATTTATAACAATGGTACCAGCTTAAACCGGTCGTGCAAAGAAGGCAAAAACGATTTTTTCAAACACCAAGATGGTCGATATTTTTAAGTTTAAGATATGGATTAGTATCGTTTTCAAGATGATTTTTAAAGATGTCAATTTTTTTCAGATGTTTACACATGCACCAATCTAAGTAACTGATAAGAACACATTTTAAAATAACTTTATAGGTATTTCAAAATTGTAATAACACTTGAAAAACTTTGGTTCGTATAAAGTAATAACATTTATTTTTCTGAAAGATTTATGTAGGTAATTACGATTCTGGTTATTTAATGTCGTTTTAATGAAGGAGATTTTATTATTATGATCTTATTGTAGGTGGACACTTTTGTCCTACCGATATTGTAAAAATTTAAAAAAAAAATTAATTTGATGAGCAAATTTCTTAAGACGATATAGTGCTAAAGGTCTCCCGTTATATTGGTCTTATTTTAAGTATTAAAACATTATCTAAATTAAAAGAAAAAGGTTATCGGGTTAATTCATGTTTTAAAATGGCTAAACCACATGTTCGAATAATAAACTTGTTTCGTTTTGGTGCTTTTCGTATACGTACCAGGTAATAAAACCTTAAAAAGGGTAGTTTGTCAATCACTTGAATAAAAATCACCTTTAAAAGATTCACTTATAACTTTTAATAAAAAATTATCCACATCTTTTAATGGATACTTTGAAATGTCTTAATATATGTATGTCTTTGATTTTCTTTACTGGAGGCCTCTTTCTGTAAAACGTGCGCAACAGAAATGAAGCGACCAGTAAGTGTCGCACAAGAAATGATTTTTTTTATCGAAATTTATGCCAGCGGTGGGGCAATCGTTGATAAGCTAGCTATCGGAGGTATTATACATGTATCGGTCAAAAGTCGTGATTTTCAAGCAATCTATTGAATAGATTCACGATTTGGAATTATGTGACTAAAAATAAAATATATATGACACCCAAATAGTTAACGTTACGAATATGAAAAATTGTCTACCAATTACTCATTGAAATTACTTATTATTATTACAAAGACATGGATTTTTTTAATTATCGAAAAGTGTAATGAGTAACGATTTCGATATTATTCATGTAACGATGAAGTATTAAATAAAAAAACTTACTCATTTTTTCGTACGATATCTTTTGTGTTAGGCGGTATTTACCACATCAATATTTATTCAGTTAGCACTGGTTGTCCGTAAAAGATATCGGCTGTGATTGCGGTAGTTGTTTGTTGGATGTCTTACTGATGTGATAGTTAAAAAAAAACCAGTAAAACCAACGATAGGTGATTTTTGAAAAGTTGGTAATAAATAAAAATGGTTTGTTATCAACGATTTAAATTTTTCAACCGTAAGAAGCCACGTCAAGGTTTGCTTAACTAACCGTACTATGACTTCGATTTGTATCGCCGCGATATAGAAATATGTTACTGGTGGTATTCGAAAAAAAAAACTACGACACATAACTTCGTCGATCGTTTGAAAACGCAAAGAAAATGGAACACAATAAAGTTTTATGTTGAAATAAAAATGAGTATTTCTTCGATGATTTAATAAAGTATTAAAAAAAAAGTGTCTACTTTTTAATAAACAAATTCGTTTTAAAACATCTGTATTTTTATTTTTTTAATCACTATCACTAATTTACGAGCGAAACAATAAGCATTAAAAATTGGTATCAAATCTATTTCTTGGAAAACATGCATAAAAATTTAATAAATTGTTAATAAAAGTATCTACTTTTCAATGTACAAATCACTTTTGAGAGGATATATTTTCACAATTAAGATTAAAAATTTTAATTAAATTCATGTCTTAAAGAATTAACACGAAATTTTTACAAATTATCTGTAAAGGTGCCCACTTTTCAAAAACTAAATCCGTGTGGAAAAACCTCGTTTAGTTTTTGAAAAATAAATTATTTATAATGTTTTCCAATTTTCAAAAGAAACAATTTTGATCGATTATCAAGAAAAATTCGTATAAAATTCATTTCTTAGAAAATGTACACGAAACTTGTATAAACTTTCAACAAATACAGTAAACAATAAACACATTTGAGAAATCAGTGTCAGTTCCTGGGAAACAAATTTTTTGAATTATTTATAATAACACTTCCAGTTTAACACTTTTTATCAATTAACTTGTAAAATTCATATCAAATTCAATTCAGCTTGTTCAATATGCTTAATCTAGCAAGACAATCTCAGAAGACTTCCCGAAATCCTCAAGGGCCCATGCCTAAATCACTTGATTCAAATTAAAACGGATTTTATACCGACAAAATATAATTTCGACCAACTATATATAAGATCATGTTGAAACAGTATCATAAAACAGTTGAATCCGAAGTAGCTAAAGGCAGACCAAAAAGTCGCATTAAGATGCACTTAACTCGAGAACAAACATTTTTCATGCAGAAGTTCTTGTCATAAACTTCTGCACCGTTTTGAACCTTGAGAAGGGACAGAAAGGGGCATCGGTAAACATCTTTACGGACAGGAAAAGAACGCATTGGTCAAGGAATGTACCGATACTCTGAAATAACTCGCCACGGATAATAAACTTACCCTATGGTGGATTCCAGGTAACAAAGACATTGGGGCAATAAAAAGGCGGAGAAGCTGGCCAAAGAGGTAGCGAGGCCGCCCTTTATTGGACCCAACCCGGCTGTGGACTACAAAAAAGCCACTTAAAATCGGTGAATAACACTTTGGAGGACTCAAAGATAGCCTTGCGCTGGAAAGAACTTCCAGGACACATACAGAACATTGTACTAGCTGAGGATCAAACTTGTCGATTTTGCAACGACAAGTCAGAAACTGCCGAACATATTCTGTATGATTGCGTCGTTTGAGAAACAAAATTTTAGAAGAGATTTGCCTGACATAGGGGAACAAGATTTTGGAGCAATACCAAGGTTCATCAAGGATCTAGATCATCCCTAAACCTTTGGAGGGCGTAAGTTACAATAGATCTTATAAGTCGAGGTGCAGCAACAAAAAAAACGTTTGTTCTACGCAACAGTTGATGTGATTGATAGAGTTCTGACNTCAGCTTGTTCAATATGCTTAATCTAGCAAGACAATTTCAGAAGACTTCCCGAAATCTTCAAGGGCCCATGCCTAAATCACTTGATTCAAATTAAAATGGATTTTATACCGACAAAATATAATTTCGACCAACTATATACATAAGGTCATGTTGAAACAGTATCATAAACCAGTTGAATCCGGAGTAGGAAAAGGCAGACCTAAAAGCCGCATTACGATGCCCTTAAACTCGGGTACAAACATTTTTCAGGCTGAAATTCTTGTCATAAACTTCTGCACCGTTTTGAACCTTGAGAAGGGACAGAAAGGGGCATCGATAAACATCTTTACGGACGGGCAAAGAACGCATTGGTCAAAGAATGTACCGATACTCTGAAAAAACTCGCCACGGGTAATAAAGTTACGGGTGGATTCCAGGTAACAAAGACATTGGGGCAATGAAAAGGCGGAGAAGCTGGCCAAAGAGGTGGCGAAGCCGCCCTTTATTGGACCCAACCCGGCTGTGGACTACAAAAAAAACACTTAAAATCGGTGAATAACACTTTGGAGGACTCAAAGATAGCCTTGCGCTGGAAAGAACTTCCAGGACATAGACAAGAACATTGGACTAGCTGAGGATCAAACTTGTCGATTTTGCAACAACAAGTCAGAAACTGCCGAACATATTCTGTGTGATTGCGTCGCTTGAGAAACAAAATTTTAGGAAAGATTTGCCTGACATAAAGGAACAAGATTTTGGAGCAATACTAAGGTTCATCAAGGACCTAGATCATCCCTAAACCTTTGGAGGGCGTAAGTTACAATAGATCTTATAAGTCGAAGTGCAGCAACAAAAAAAACGTTTGTTCTACGCAACAGTTGATGTGATTGATAGAGTTCTGACTGAAAAATTGTTGATATTGATAAAAAGTATGACTATTTGTAAGAGTTTGTTATTATTGCTGTCGGGCTAAAGGCAGCGGCCCCTCTCGTCAACGCGACCTATAAGATCTATTGTAACTTTAGCCCTCCAAAAGTTTAGGGCAAATGTAGGTCCTTAATGAACCTAAGCATTGCTCTAAGGTCTTGTTCCTTTAAGTCAGTAGGTATCAAAAGAGCTTTACCGAAAATTTTGTGTCTTAGGCGGCCTCTGGCAACGCAATTACACAGTATATGTTCAATCGTTTCTGACTCATTGTTGCAAAGTCGACAAGTTTGATCCTCAGCTTGTCCAATGTGGAAGAGGTGGTAATTTACATTTATACAGAAGTGGTTCTCTGAGGTTGCTGATACACTCTCTGATCAGTGCGGAGTCACACGTGTAAATCTGGATTACCTTTAGGGCGGTCCGACTGTCTGTAAAAATGTTTATGGATGCACCTTTCTGTCCCTTTTGTAGGTTCAAAGCGGTGCAGAAGTTTATAGCAAGAACTTCTGCTTAAAAAAATGGTTATGTCGGAGCTGAGGGGCAATTTAATGCGGCTATTTGGTTCACTAATGCCCATGCCTACTCCGGATCCAACTGTATTGAAGCATCGGTGTACAAGCCAAGGGCTCCTCTTTTTAGTTGAAGCCCACCCTTCGTTCAACCATTCCTGCTTCTAAATATGACCTTATACGGCTGGTCGAAATTGTATTCTGTCGGTATAAGGTTCATTATAATTTCAATCAAGTGATTTAGACATGGGTACTTGAGGGTTTCGAGATGTATTCTGAGGTTACCCTGCATCAGCTTGAGTGAAGAGCATTTTTTCAGTGATAAGGTACTTAAACTTGCATCCTTTTGTATACATAAATGAAGGGGTGTGAGAACGAGATTAAGACATGTTAACCGCTGGATTTGTGTCAGCTGTTGTTGTGCTGTCTTATAATTTGTTTTTGGCCACCAAACCAGTCAGACATAGGCGACCATAAGTCTGATTATAGCTATGTAGGTCCTTGTGTGAGTTTAGTAAGACAGGATGATTACACTCTATGTTGTGAACGCATATTCAATTACCCTGGCTTGATACGATACAATATTCCTGATAAGATTTAAGATGACACCAAACCTTCAGTAAGCAAAGTCCCATTCCGAATGACCCCCTTTGTCGAACTATCCACCGGAGCTATCTATCCATCAATACCTACATGATTTTTTACCCGAAACAAACTGACAGTAATATCCTAGCGTCTTCAACAACTTCGACATAAATACTGCAGTATCAAGCAGGACAACATGTTGTTTTAAAAAGTCTTTAACATTCTTATATTTTATATCTGAGATTATACTAACAATGTCGCTTTTAAGGAAGATGAATTAAACTTAAATTAAGTTTCATAATTTTTGTCATGAATTAAAAAAGCGGAACTTTACCACTAATTTGGAGGCATCTCTAATAACTATCAAATCGCATTCAGTGTCACCTAAGATCTGCAGGTATATGCCTTTCTTTACAAAATCGTCAAAACCCATAAGATTGTAAAAGATGGGATGTAAAATATATTCAAAATACGTAATCTATTGAAAATATGGCACATTAAGGATTAAGAATAAACGCCGCGGAAATGGACTACTGGAGGAGATGCTGCCACAAAACAAAAATAGATCGAGTAAAAAATACCAATATCGTAACGGAAATAGAAATCAGGTTAGCACACTGGAAACCAAAGAAGTTAAGATGGTTCGCACATGTTCAACAGATGACGAATGAAAGATAGCAAAAAAAAAATGATAAACTGGATACCGCCAAAGCAAGAAAACGAGGAAAGCCAAGCTGGTAATGGAGAGTAGAAGAACAATTAGGATATAGTCTTCATTAGAACTAACAGTAATTTAAAGAACCCTTTTTTCTTTAATACTACCAAAAACTGTAGAAGTGAAAACCATATGAGAACTAATGCTTATCAAAAAAACGTTTGATCAATCCTTTTTTTTGCCTCCAAACCAATTTTTGTGTTATACGAAATATATTAACACTTCGCACTTTCTAACGATAAAATGTATGTGTTCCACCAAATTAATTTATAATCCAACATCTCGCCAAGATGTCGAAACACAATATAACAAATATAAATAAAATTACGCGAAGAGAAAATAAAGTGATACCAACGATTAATTTTTTAGTGATGGAAAAGAGTGATATTGCTTAAATGACGACAGGTAATATCAAGACAGCTAATTCAGTTTTCGTATTACGAAATCAGGAAAACCTCTAAAAGATAATAAATAATCTACAAGTTTTCCGAAAAGATAATGTTTGTATATGCAACCAAATATACGGTCATTTTTGCACAATTGATCTACGTTTTAACTGTATATGTTATATATGTATATGAATGTACACGTTTCTACTTGTTTATTTCATAAATGTAGTAATAAAAATATATGTAGCGATAATAGGTTGTTAATCAACAATTAAATAAAAAGGGCTGTTAAATGTGTAAATAAACTCTTTAACCGTTTAGAAGAGTCTGATATTGAATGGAACTTTCCATATTCAATATTATCTCGAAAATTTTTTCAGCAAATTCTATTGTATTTATTTTAAAGTATTTATAATTAGATAGCAAACTGAAAAAAACTAAAAATTAACATATTAATAAAAAAATAAACAAACGAACTAATTGCCAAGAAAAAATGAGACAAAAATTAACAACAAAGAACTAACATGAAAAAACACTGAAGATTACAATTTGAAAATTATTCGAGAGATGTGTTCCATTATGATCAATGTATTAAACATCTACAAATTTATAACCTTTTAGTTTCGCCATAGAATCAAACACACCATATTTCGGTGTGTAGTGTGCAGAAACCTTGATATTAGGACATTCAGTAAACAATCAGATATCGAATCAAAACTTTTAGGCAACCATAAAGCTACCTACTATGTGTAGCTGATAAACGACATACTCAATAATAGCATTATTGTATTAACGAGAACAAGGACAGAAATTCCATGAAAGTATCTGGAAAGATGGAAGTCTCATATGACAGCAAATTACTTATGGAAAATTCCAAAGTACAGTGCTGTCCAACAAAACTTTAGCCGTTATATGCTGTATGGCATCACATTATTTGTAATTTTCTTTAATTGCAGACTAAATATGGCCACTCGACTTATTTTGGGAGAAAAGAGTTTGGGCCAACCTCCAATAGTAAGAAAAAACTTTAAGCATTGGTGTCATCGAGCACATGTAAAATTTGTGTACAAAGATTTGTGGCTCTGTGAAGAACCAGACTAAGTACTGATAAACTGAAAGCTGTAATTTGTGATGTCCTAATACGCAATATTTCCAGTGTTCTTATACCATCGAGGATTAAGAAGAAAATCACCAGAACGTAAAGAAATATAATGACAAATTACATCTGAAATTTAAAAATAAATTATTACAAACAGCATAAGAGAAATTTCCGCATAAGATAATTAAAAAGTGTAGGGTTGTCCAAAAAATGTTACCACATCATTTTAAATCCGTTTTAATTTGTATTGTTCCAGACTAAGTGTGGTCCCCAACATCGTTTAGAAGAGAGAACGAAAGTAACCGCTTGGATGGAGTAGTTTGGACCAACCTCACTCGTAAAAAAAACTTCAGCATAGCATTGGAAACCAAAATCCCACAAGTTATTTAAGAATTCTTTACTTCGATCTAGGAATGAGGCCTTACCACATTTAAATGATACAGGGCTTGAATGAGGGTATTCAAAACGAAATTTATTTAATAATTTTATACAGCAATTTAGCTCGTATACAAGCTTGAAAAGTGTAATTCAAAATGATGAACACAAATCCTAATGTTGTGCTCTTTATGTCAAATGAAGCCATACTTCATATTTACGTTAATGTAAATAAGCCTAATTGCGACATTATAAGTACAAAATATCCATATAAACTAAAAAAGTATATTCAATCCTTTGCGAAAGTAAACGTATGATATGGCAATGCGAAAGTTGGAGTACTTGATTCATATACTTTTTATAATCTGGCACAAACGGGAACCTAGATAGGTCGAGGGATTTTGGCATCCGTATCGTATTATCTGGTCAGACCTCACACCTCCCCATTATAGCTTAACGGTTCAAGATTTCCTGATGAATCATTTGATAAACGATGGATTGATCAAGGTAGAGCATTGCCTTCGCTAGCATTATTACCAGACTACTACCTTGTGATTTCCGGCTATGGAGAATGATGAAAGAACGCGTGAAAGACTTACCGACATTAATGACCTAAAACAAAGCTTGTTTGCTCTACATCCTATAGTATGGTCAAAAAACTTCGAACTTGCATTGAGAACCAATGATGCAGGTCGAAGGAGAGCAATTAAGACTTGTATACAAAATAAAAATCAATCCCATGTAAATGGTAACATCTTTTTGGAAACCTTGTATAAGTAGTCTTTCTTTTAATGTTCTTTTTATTATATCCTTTTAAAAGTTTTTGTTAACCCTTACCGCTTAACCATAGAGGTGTGGTATCTGGAGGACAGACCCTGAGGTTTGATCCGGTACACTACTATCGATATTGGGACATAAACCATTCATGGTTTACGGCACCTTCATGGTTAAAGATTAATGTTGAAATAAAATATATTGCTTCATGATATTGTTGTCTGAATGAAGCGGTCAATACTAACTAAAATCAATTTAATGTGGTATTAAAAAATAAGACCACAGCAAATATACAGGTGTTTCTAAATTGATACGAAAGATTTGAAGGGAGACAAAAAAGTTGCAGATTGAATACCTCTATTAAAATCAAGTTTTTAAATGGAGAAATGTAGACGCATTAAAAAGTTCTGATGCAAAGTATTATAGGGGTTGATTTTTTCACCCCCTTATAATAACATTTTAGGGTTACAAAAATCATCAAAAGGTGTCATTTTATTAGCAACAGTTATCAGCCAAATTTCATTCTAAATTCCTCCATATTGAATATATTAAATAAAAAAATTTTTTCCCCTAACTTTAGATGGCTACAATTTGGAGGAGAAGTGGGTTTGAACAAAAAGTTATATGAAAGACACCCTTTAATTTTTGCTGAAAAATCATTTCTGGAAATCTTTCGCGTCAATTTAGGAACTTCCTGTATATAAAGTCAGCTTGAAAATGTCTGGCACCAAAATTTGTATATGTATAGCACTGGTATCGATACTAAAATCTACTGAATGTAAAAATTTATATCTGGGCATTGTTTAATGAAAAAGATTACGATAAAGTTTGGGAGAATTATTAAAATTTCTTATTGATATCTTGAAAACTTTCAAATCTTTTTGGTTTTTGGAAAATGGTATTCGATCGAACTTGGTGAAGTATTTAAAAGTTTAATATAATTAATTCCTTTGACTATTTAACATGGACCCACTGTATTTCAAGAAATATAAATACAAAATAATAAACTTACCATATTCCAGGTTCTAATATCAATGCTATAGTTTCAGGTGCATCAAATCGATATCCTACAAAAATAAATAAATAATCAAACTAATGCTGTAGAAAAAATATGGATACTAACTTTAAGTTCGCATTGTTTCAAGAAAATAAAAAAAGTAATAACTTATTTCTGCTGATAAGCAGGTTACAAACACTCCAGGAAACACGTAATCATTTTTTTCTTACCTTCCATGATTAGCGTCTTGACTATATTCACCATATCTTTCGCTTCTTTTTTGTAAAACTCGGTCTCCGTTTCCGCGGCGATTTCTAAACCTAAATGAACCACTGTCAAGGAAAACACAAAAAAAAATAAAATACACACTCACAGTTTGCACTGAGCTAAGCGAAGCGAAGGAAAGAAAACAAACGGGGGCAGCGGCCCTTATCGGGCACGCTTCGATAGTTGTCTTGGTGAATGAGTGAGAGGGCCCCCAAGCAAATTGAACCGGGTTAGAAAAAGATGATGATAAAAGGTTTAGTAGTAGGCATTGTTGACAATAAAGTTTGTGTTTGTTGGTGGTTGAGAGGAAATGCGGGGGGAAACCCGGGCGTTTCATATTTCAGGTGGAAATGTTTTTTTTTTTGTTACTTTTCAAAGTTTGGAATAACAGGCGACATCTGTGCGACGAGGTTGATTTTAATTCTATTCGGTTATAAAGATCCAACAGGTGGCGATATTATTTACAGGTTGCGTTTCAAAGTGTTTTACTGTAGTTTATGTTTCATAAGTAACTTATTGATACATAACTGTAAAAAAAAACCGTATATTCTAAAAATAAAATTATTGGAATTTAGATATTTACATTCGATTTTGTACAAAGAATTATAAAATAATATAGCTAAAGATAACTTACAATAACCTTATAAAAATTTATCAAATAATGCCGTATTATCATTAATATTTTCCAAATTAGTTTGAACACAAAGAGTAATACATTTATTCTCAATCATTAGCTTAAAATTATTAACCTTTATCTCATAATAAATGAGTCATTTAAGAAATTCTAATTATTTAAGATAATAATTCGTATTTTTACAGGCATTAAAATTTATTGATTGATTTATTATCGTCCTTTTCGATATTAACATGACCATGTAGTACTTTCAATTAATAATAAAAGTCAGAAATAAAATAGTTTATAATTTTTTATGGCTGCATAAAATATAAGAATTTTTTTAGCATTTTTTACCTTAATGAATAATCATATTCAGCCATAAATAGAAATGTTACATTAGTTATTTGAAAATGTGATAATTTGTTAATTTTGTTGGTAATTTAAATTGCAAGAACTTTGTAAAACACAGCAGTTGAGTCATCATGTTTTATGAGTTAAATAAAAATAGTTGTTATTCAATAAACAAATGTTGTAATTGGTTTAATTATTACTCATTCCATAAAGAAAAATTTTAAAACAATTAAAATTTATAGTTGTAAAACAAGAAATCAACTATCTTCTTGTACTTATTTTTGTTGTTATGTACCCAGACTAGCACAAACAATGGTAAAAATTAAAGCATGTCGTTGACACATTAAGTTAATTTCCTTATAGTGAAAAGTTAACGTTATTGAGTTTATCTAAAACATATCTCACGTAGGCCACTTTAAACAGCAAGTCATTGTCAGTTAATCGTTCGGATGAATTAATAGATCGCTGTTAAAGATTCGGTGAGTGTTCATAACGAGCGTCCGAAGCCACGTAAAGGGTAGTTTAGATGTTTTTAAAACAATATTAGTCGTGAATTTATCAGAAGAAATGTAGACGCATTAAAAAGTTCTGATGCAAAGTATTATAGGGGTTTAGCACTTTTTGATTCGAATCAACTTCATCAAGAAAGTTCCGTGAAGGTTAGTAAAACAGAATTCGAGAAACCAGATTACAATAACTCTGTAATATACCTGTTGAAAGCATCAGAAGACAACATGTAGCTTATCAGGCATTATATAACAACGTCTTGAGTCTTACCCCGAACCAAACCTGGGAGAATATTAAAGTATATTTAAGCCAGGTCACTCAACTATAGACTACACCCACACTCAGCAGAACACATAAGAAAAATTGGACAAAGACCTGTACAGCATTTACATCGATTTCAAACAGGATGATAAAATAAATAGAAAAAAGATGCTACAACACTGAGCAAAACTGGGTATACAGCAGATGCAATTAACATTAATTAATGTCACGCTAACTGGATCGAAGGAAACTGTCAGAATTCAGGGATGGCTAACAGAACTGTCTGAAATAAATTGCGGAGTCAGGCAAGGTGTCGGTTTAATCCCCCGCAATATTTAATCTGGTTTTAGAAGCTGTCAGAACAGATTCAACAGATTCTGCCATACAAGAACTTCGAATGCCATATTATATCAACATGAAAACCTCGCAGCTATCTGCGGACGCAGATGACATAAGAATTCGAAGTCGCACCAAAAAAGAACTGACGGAAAAATTTACTCAACTCACAAAAGAAGCCTCCAAAGTAGGACTTATAATTAACGAACCCGAAACAAAGTATATGTAGTACATAAAATCCAGAAAAAGAGACCCAGAGACCGGGCAATAAGTGCTGCTATGCCTACAAACACCTAATGATGAGTAAAATAATAAGAGAAAGAATAGTATATGGACGCGAAGCATGGACCATGTCGCCAGGAGATGAAATCAAATTAAGAGTCTGTGAACGATGAAACTTGCACAAGATATATGGGCTGATACAAGATAGTACTGAAATATGGAGAATAAGAATAAACAATCAATTAGATTAACTCATGGACGGATCAGACAAGAGAATATAGTACGACACATAAAAGCTCAGAGAAAAGCATGGCTGGGACATCTGAAAAGGATGCATGGAAATAGAGAAGTGAAGAGAATTGTGGAATACACATACAGGTATAGAGGACTAGAAGAAGATCAAAGAAACGATGGAAGAATGATGTGATAAAGAACGCTTGATTCACGAAAAAAACCAAAGTGCGAAGCAAACCAAACTCCACAGTGAAGTATAAAGCTGGAAAAAGAAGATATCATAAGCACAAACTCATTTTCTTAGCGAGAGGTGTCAACTCTTTGCCTTGGGTATAAAAGATGTTGCAATAGAATTTTAGTTACATAGCGTTTTGGATAATTCTGACAGATAGTCATAGACATATAGTAGACATAGACAGGTCACATAGTAGATAGACAGGTTCATAGTAGAGAGGTGATAGCAATCATTAGTATCTGCGACTTGATGCATGAGTAAATGCATTAATCGACCAGCTAGATAACGCGACGCTTCAGTATCAAGAGACTATATGTCGAGAGACTATATACATTACCACTTATAATGTTTTTCGAAGCTTAAATAAAATGCTATATTTACAATACCTGTATCTTCATCGTATAAATGGCCAAGAGAATTGGATCAAATAGAACTATTATTACATGATTCCCATGATACTGGTACTTCATGATCAGATGTCTGATCATATATACGCAGACCTCTTCTTCATATAAACAGTATTATAACTCTATAAGAATAACTTTGTTTTTCTGAAGAAGTTATGCAACAGAATATTTCATGAACAGATTTTCGAAATGATCGTCTTTTCGGGTCGATAAAGAGTTATGGTTGACTGGTCTATCAAAACGTATTGGAAGTAGAGTGCCCTAATTTTAATTCTATCCATTGCATATATTGTTACCAGAGTTGATAAAAAACTAATAGCGAAAAAGATTTCGTCTTTTCCAGGCGACTTATATGGTTAGAATGTTATAATTGGCTATATAGATGACAACTTTTCCAGAAACACGTCAATCGTTTTGTGCCAAATCATCACAGTGCCTGATTACTACGTTAATTGTCTTCATTAGAAGATCGAATAAGCTTTTAACAGAATCCGTAAAATTATTACAACCATTTTCACCCAGGTTGTTTATTTTTATTTTTCAATGATATTTTAGTAAGTAAAGTAGTAATTCGTATTAATGACGAAATACTAAAAAAAGAGCAAATTAGAAAATAAAGGATGCACTAATTTCGAAATCTCCAAAGACGAACTTATGGCATTTACTGGTTTGCTAATGTATTTAGGTGCTATGTAAGACGCTTCCTATTACATATTACAGTAACATATCTTAGATTTCATGTTAATGTAACAGCTAATAAAAGATCTCGTAATGATGCTTTTGCAGCAAACGAATTGTTATATTGTGTGGTAATTCTATAAAATACATGATCAATGCCTTAGTTGGGAAAATGTAGAAGCAGCAATGCCATCAGCTCATCATTGAATGAAATTATTAAAAGAAGTGTTAGAAACATTGCCACAAACAATTGGTTCATATCAGTAGACTTAGTAGAAGACCTATTCTAAGTTCTAATATGGAGGAAGAAAAAGAAACATCTCTTCAGAACTTTTAGATGTCAAATCCAAAAAAAAAACAGTTCGTTTTGATAGGGAAAAGACCTTGATTTCGTTAAAATTCTAATCCAACAAGGTTGTGTTACCAACATGTGCCAACTTGAAATACACTCGAAAATAAGGTATTGAAAAGATCTTATGTAAATTAATTAGTGTAAGAAATGGGAAAATCGACATTCATTTTTGCTTGAACTATGTATATGAAGCTTACACTATTGCGTGGCTACAAACAACACAAGGTTCAATTCGAAACTCTATTGGCGATATGTTGAAAACTAATGGATCTGGTGAAACTCCAGAAACTATTAAACAAAGTATGTATTATTGTATGATCCGCAAACAGCGAATTGTATCATAAAATTTGTTTAGTTACCACTTCATTTCAACATAATCTGGTGTTTTAGGATCTCTTAATTATTTTCACAAATACAAAATAGAATTCGTTGTTGTATTTTAATAGCTGAATGTTGACTATATGCATATTATGATACGTAAACCAAAGTGGTGTTAAGGCAACTAATACATATCAAATACTTATTGTGTTTTATAATTATGTCAAGTACATAAATGTCTGGATCTGTCTTTGCGTACCAGATATTTCTGACTGAATTTTTTCCCTATCTTTTGTACAAATCGGATACTATAGCAGGTACGTACTTGATTTTGTTATTGTCAAAATAGAAAATTTTAAATTAGTATATTTCTTGTTATGTAACTTCTTTTATGTTATAAATCATATTACTGTTGTGCAATAAACTGTACTCAGAAAAGAATAAGTTAACTTTTTTGTAATGTTAAGCAGTAGGTAATCAATATTATTTGTTAAATATTATAAAGTGTTGATTATTTCAATTGTTGGAACCTTGTAAAATAACGTTGAGTCATCCAATAGGTGCTAAACGACTATCGTTAACTACTAAATAAGACCAAATAGCAAAGCGGTTTTCTAAAAGAGATCGGTATTTCGATTGCCAGACGTACACTAATTGTAAGAGTTGATGTCATCGAAGCGTAACAACCAATGACACGGAAAACCGTCGAAGACCGGATGTTTTCAATAATATTACAACGATAATCCTGACACTTAACTGATATTTAATTCATCAAATGCATTAGGGAAATAATCATTAAAATAAAATTAAAAACGACATACATAAATTTAAAGTTGTTCAAAAAATTATTTCGCGAAATCTAAAAACTTAAATATAAAAGGATACATCCCAACATATCGGAGACGCTTTGTGGCAGTGTGTCGGTCTTCTTAAATCGTGCGACCTCCTTCCGAAGGTCGTTGAACGTGGAATAATACAACGGCAGGTCGATCTCCTTCCGGCAGGATTCCGGGTGCAGACACTGCCTGAGAGGCAACTGTCCATCCGTTACTATCCTAAATCCGGGATTGTGCGGGTCGATGTGCATGTTGTCGCAATAGGCCTCGAAGTCCGCTAGAGCCGTATCCAGCTGTCTCCCTGAAGATTTGATGAGTTCGTCCGTTAACACGGATTCCGAGGTTAATTGTTCTGAGAGGATGTTTTCATTCACGTCTGCCGCAAGTGGTCGTATTGGATATTGTTGCATACCCACAATCTATAATAATAAAGAAAACATAAATAAATAAAAAGTTTATGTAGAAGATAAAAATAGATTTAAATATTCTAAACCCGTTTGTTTTGGCCATAAGGTGGCGAAATAAAAAACATAAACCCGGGTCATAATTAAATTACCATGATTAACTAAATTGTCTTGGAGTCCAAGGTTGTCAGGTTTTTTATAATTAGTTATAAATCATCTGGTTGATAGGCCGCGACATCGCGAAAATTGTCCCGTTAATAACACTTATTCAATCATCACAAAACTAATTTTTAACACGTCTAGTGAAATTGCACGTCGATAAAAATAGTTATTTATGGATGGTTATTACTACAAAATTGCGCGTGTGGTTCAAAAGTTCAGTAATTGATTACGTCCAAACAAATTAAAAATATTATCATATATGTGAAGGGATCAAATAAATTGCTAATAAATAGTCTAGATACATAATAACCATAAAGAATTTTTAATTTAATATATTCAAGATCGACTCCTTCCAAGTTGCAAGATCAACGATATATAGCTTAAAAATCTGCAGCTCTTGAAATACTACATTGTTATATTCTTTGATACGCATCATTTAAAAAAAAATATTTTTTCGTTGAAATTTTAGTACATCTTGCAGATTATCAATAAACATAAATAAGAATTCTGAAACCCAGTTATTTGATTTAAATTATTATTAATTCAGCGTCACATCTAACCACAACTAATATCAGGAAAATTTACAAGAAAAAGAAACTAGGATGACCTGCAAATATAACTACTAACAAAGTTTCTGCTAGCATGTTGAATTGCATGCTGATAGCAACGTTGTGAAAATGGAAGTTGTTGGAAATGGAAAAGAGCTTTTGACACAGATAAGTCATTAAAAAATCTGAGATTACTGAGACTAGAAGATGATTAATAAATTAAAAATGCAGAATTGCAAAAAATTCTCAAATATCAGAACTCTATAAACTTTCTTCCTAATTTTTATTCTGAACGAGACACACTTTTTCATGAAAGATTGGCTACTCAAAAATAGTAATCTGAAATAATTTATTCCTAATGTAATAAAATAGCGTCTTTAGTAATGTAAATTATAATTTACGATTTATGGAGAAAAAATGAAAGATTGTTTTTTTTTTGCTTAAATATAAAGATATGTTTAGAGGAGAAATTCTACAGAATGACATCATTTTCATCAAAAATAAGCTGGAAACCTTTCTATATTAAGTACCAAAAGAACATTTCAATAGAAAAAGGAAAAATTTCATGCTCTATCAATATTGTACAAAACAATAGCGAAATAAAAACCTCGTAAAAAGAAAGGGCACATTCCTGTTGGTTAAGATACCTAAGATTTTCTCTACCTCATCTAACATTTTTACTCCAATTCAATTTCAGAAGGAAGATGTATTATATGAATGTCTCGGCCTTAGTGCAAAGTAATTTTGATCTGAATTAGGAAATATCTTAATACTTGTCAAGTACCTTAGCAAATGCGGTGCTACTTCAAAGGTAGCTTTTTTGCACTATGAAACTGACCTAATGGAAGAAATAGTATTTCATCCCATCCCGTGGTTGATGGATACACAAGGCAACATTATAATCTGCGCTCATAAACCTAGCATCCTTTCTTTGACGCTTTTGTCATGTTGTCATGCTGCAAATATGACAACGCCTTCGGACCCGTGATTTTTGAACAAATGTTGGTGGAACAGGACTTGGAAAATGCCGCTGCTCAGCGAGATAGGATGGTATGTGATGCCTTTCAATCACCTGTTGTACAAGTTCCCGTACAATTAAATAAACGAAATACTTATTTGTATATCGATTTTGAGTTTTTGAACTTCTTCGTGTAATTTGCCTTAACAGTAAACTTCATTGTTGCCATGTTTACTGGCGTAAGCAAATTAATGTATTTTTATCACAACATTTCACAGCCAACACATTATCAATAGAAGCAGCTTTTTCTATATGCCTTTACTGCACCACAAGATTTCTTTTTGAATAAATACTGAAATAATCGAGGACTACTATACCAGTTTGTAACGAACAGTACGTAGTGTTTATCCAGGTAGGGTTAATATTCACGAGTGTTATCATAATAGACGCAGCTATTCCAATATCCTCATCACAGGATCAATTCCATATTTGAGCCAGTATAGATAATAAAGTTTAGTAAAAAGCCGATTTCTAATCGTAATAAATAGTTTCATCCAAACGTAACATTTGACTGTTTTACGATACGTTTTCTTTTCGATTTCGGTTTCGTTTGAGGTAAATCAATACTATTATCGTCGTTTGCATCGCTTAGATCCCAGATAGTAGCAGCATCGTCATCTTCGCTAGACGAATAATGTTTACTTTCGCATGAAATAATATATTCACCTGAATCATCACTATCACCGTTCATAATTCTATCGGTCTCTAGTTGCAATTCTTGCGATGATAATTTTTGTGTCGTGGCAAATAAACAACGTACTGCAACCCAAAAAACACGAAAAAAAGGCGAAGATGTGCAAGAAATTACAGGATGTAGTACGTTTCCCATACAGTCCCGAAAGAGTTAATTGTAGACTCCAGACTATGTCAACCAATGTCCCAGACTATGTTCTTCATTCTGACCTCAAGTAGTCATTACTAATACATTAACATTACAAGGCAAGTCGATGCAAAAATTTCGAAATCTTATTAAGACTTCTTCTAGAATCTAGATCTTATTGCAAACTTGGAAGCTGAGATTTGGTGAACACACCTTGCTAGAGTGTTAAATTCTAACTGCTGTGAGCTGATTGTCAAATAAATGTATTAGTGGAAATTATCAAATAAATGTTTTAGTGGAAATTATCAATTTCAAATTATTAGCAGATCCATCGTTTTATCAGTTGAGTATATTTATTCAAACGTTAATATGTATTTATGTTTTGAGACTTTTTATTTCTTTACCTTACATACGTGTTTCAATCATATATGAAATTATGTCAAAAATATGTAAAAGATCGTTTTTACATAATTAAATCATGTTATATACAAGGTGATTCTCAACTTATACGCATAAACTTGAGCATTTATTCCTCATGACAAATAATGAGTAATAGCTGAAAACATTTGTAATAGGTTAAAATAGCAAAAGTTTTTTACTTTCCTAGATATCCATGAAATTTAGTGTTCCAAGTTGTTTCCAATATTTTGTATACCCAATTTTGTTCGCTGAATCCACGATATCATTATTATATCAGCTCAGTATCTTCCTCAACATTCACTTCCTCAGCTGCAATGTTAAATGCCTGTGTTAACCACTGTATGCCATCCTCAGTATCAGCCAAAAGATTCTAATTCTTCTATCCTTACTTTATCGAACGTTTTGGTTAGATCAACGAAACAGAGGAAGGCTACATGACGTTTTTTCGCCTTAGTTCTATCTGATTCTTTTTGATGCTCTCAACATTTTCCTCAACATTGTGTGATCCGTACATGTCATTCTTCATATCGTTACTAAATTTCGTCATGCATCATTTGTGTAACCCAAACAACCCACTCATTTTTGCAGAAGATGAAATAAGTATGGTGGTATCAGTTCTAAACAGATGAGAGTAGATGAGAGTAGTTTGATGTTGCTGTGTAAGATGATTTCTAGAAGGAAAGACTGTGCGCTTTGGAGATGATATGATAGTGCGACCTAAACCAGGGCGTTGGCGGATTGTCTCGGCAGCAGTTTGTATCTGATTTCGCAATCTTTGCTCAGTATTAACTTCGGTGACGTACACTATGCTTTTTAAGTGATCCCAAAACAAAAAAACAAGAGGATTAAGGTCGGGCGATCGAGATGGCCAGGCCAATAGACTACCTTGACCTGTCCATCTTCCGGGAAGCACCTTCTCTAGATGTCGCCACATATATCGGATCCATTATTTGTCGTGAGGAATAAATGCCCAAGTTTATGCGTATAGGTTTGAGAATCACCCTGTAGATAAATACTATAGTAATTTATAATCATCTATTTGGTTTTAGAGTCAATAAATCAATATATTAAAGTACTATACTGAAGTAGAAAAAAAAGGATTATCAAGCTAAGGCAACCTCAGACGAATATTTTACCATTAGTTGACTGCAAGATATCATTTAGAGAAGGTCAAAAATCACAGTCAATTTTTTAAATTTATAATCATTGAAGAAATGAGATAAAATATAAAATAGAGCCCAGAGAAGATCTGTAGATAAACTTGCTCCTACAAAAGCAATTTTAGACAAGCGAATAGGTCATTTTTCAATATGTTACACATATCCTGAGTATCTTACTTTCGATCAGAAATTGGAGCCCTTCAGAAGAAGAATTGATTTTCTCTAATACATTGCAAACAAGCCTAGTGAGTATAAATTAAAAGTGCACGCTCCAGTAGACGCGAGAACCTTCTATTTTCTCAATATGGGAGTATGGTAGGTTTACAACCACCGGATCCATTCAGGTTAAGCAATAAACCACAAGACATAGTAAAACATTTAGTAACAGTATCTGGACCAAGACGTAACATTACCTTTGACAATTGGTACACGAGCTATACTTTGATATAATAATAATATAAAGATAAATATAAGAAAAGAGATGTGCTGTTCATTCAGAAAAGAGGTATGTTTCTCGACGATCTAAGAATGTTACCAAAACAATAACCAGAGATCGTTGTGCACACTGACGTAAGATTAAGCAAATATTTATTATATCAGACGTAGTAGTAATTTTAGATAAGCCAACAGATCTCATCAATAGATTAATTACAATTCTAAATAACATTCAATTACATACTTATATCCTTTGTCATGAAACCTATACACAAACATTCCAATTAATAAAACATTAGAGTACAGTAAAATGATTAATAACATCAATATCGACATGACTGACAACAATAACATATTTAAATTGTATATGTTCAATAATAACTTAGATAACTGTGATGATGGTAATCCAATAGATTCAGTATTACGCGAGTTATTAGTACATATCTAGGAAA